TTGTCCTGGCTTGTCCTGTTGGAGAGGGTGGGCCAGTGGTGTTATGTGTGATGTGGGGTGACATTAGAGGCTGTGGCTCCCTGAAGGCTGAAATGAAGCAGCAGCTGCCCACTAATGGAAAGAGTAACTTTCTGTCCGGGCTGCTTGTGAGCCTGGGCTGGCATTTTCTACCCAGAGAGGTGGTGACAGAGTGGGTGTTGGTTTGCTGGTGGTCAGGGGCACTGGGCTCATGGACTGCAGGTCCTGGCCACCACCTCTGTGGCCCTCTTATAGGTGCCAGCAGCCTCTTCTTCTGAGAGCATCTCATTTGTCCAGTGGAGGGGACACACTGGGCAGACCTTGGAACGCAGTGTCCTGTCTGCTTCTCTTCTGTGCAGGCTGTGGCTGGTACAAGTCGGCAGAGGGGCTGCAGCTGGGCTGTGTTATGGTGGTACTGAGGAGGGTGCCCACCTGTGTGCTGTGGTTGTGGGGCTGAGATTGGAAGGAGGGACTCTGCACAGTCATCCAGACAGAGTGGGGGCTGTTTGGGGGCATTCTGAGTTCTTTGCTCATCATTTGGGGTTTTCAAACCCAAATTGGGGGCCAAGTGTGTGGAACCAAGTAAAGCAGGTCCTTTCAGCACCCTGAGGTTGTTCCCCAGTTCTGCCCATGCATCACCCCCATTTCAGCTCAGTGCTGGACCAGTTTTCTCACAGAGCCTTTGGGAAGCTGGGGAGAGCAATGGGTCCTATCCCATTGGCAATTGCCTCACAGACCCCAGGAGGCCCTCCATGGGCCCACACTCAGTGACTTCAGGTGACACATCCCTCTAGCCCTGCTATGACCCAGTGGAGAGGAGGCCATGTCTGACCTTTTCCTGCCTCTCTGTCCTCCAGACTCAGCCCAGGGTCCAGCAGAGAAGGCTTACATTTCCTGAGGTGAGAGGCAGGGAGGCACAACTTTCTGGCTCATGCAGGAGGGTTACTCCTACTTAGGGTCAAGTTCACAGGCACAGTGTTCTCTGGCTTCATTGGTAGTTCTGCCCTTGGGTGCTGACATGGTTTTTGCTGGAATACAGCAGAACTAGGAGCTCAGAACCAGGGACAGCCCTAAAACTCTGCTTGTTCCTATCCCCAGGACTAGGGGCAGTGGGATTGTGAAACATCAGTGAAAGCCTAGTGAATACATGGTCTGGGGAGGATAAGATCTTATCAAGAGAGCACCAGCAGATACGTCTGGCTGGGAGAATGTGGGCACTGTCAGGCAATGGTTCTGGGTCATAGTTGCACCTTCAGTGTGTGATGCAGTGGCCAGAACTTAGATACTCAATAGCTTTTGAATGGATGGATGGATGGATGGATAGGTGAATCAACAGACAGATGGATGGGTGGATAGTGGTGGATACATGGATGGTTGAATGGGTGGTTGAATAGATGGATGGAGGGAAGGAGAGAGGGGCAGATGGATGGCATGCATGGATGGATGGTTGAATGGATGGATGGATGGAGCAAGGTAGGAAGAGAGTGATAGACAGATGGATGGCATGCATGGATGGATGGATTGATGGTTGGATAAGAACTAGAGCTGCGTAATTCACCCACAGTAATTAAGGAAACATGCCTACTTGTTCTCCTCCCCTTCTTCAGTTCTGAATGGTTTTCTGTTGGGTCCCTTCAGAGCTCATGCCAGGCCCTGTGGTTTGCCCCTGGCACATGTGTGCCCACTCCTTGCCAGTCTTTCAGAAGTGTGCCTTGGTTGAGGTCCTCCTTGCCACCCATGTGTCTGCTCTTGGGTTCCCACTCCTCATCCTACCTGGTCCTCCACTGCCTCCCAAGCCCCACTATCCCACCAGGGCTTTTCCTGAGCGCACCTCTCACTGATCTCAAAATATTTGTATTGCTTATTGAGTACCTTGTGTATTCAGAGTTTGCTTGGAGGACTCAGCCTCCACAGCCCTATGAGGTGTCTATTATTCCTTACATGCTCATTCTTCACAGAAAGCAGGGATCAGAGAGGTGAGCAGACTTACTCCAGGCCACACAGCCAGGAAGTGACACAGCTGGAGAGTCACCAGGGCTGGGGTTCCCCACCCTTCTAGTCTCCAGTTTGAGCTAGAAGTAGAGCCTGGGCACAGTGCAGCCTGTTCTGCTCTGGTCAGACTCCATGTTAGGGTGTGCAAGGAGGAGGGCAGCCTTTGAAATGAGATGGGTGTGTGCCCAGAGTCCTACCCATATTCCCCCCCTGCAACCTCTGCACCCTGGAAGACTTGCCAGGGCCAGAGCTGTACAGCCACTTTGGTGCTGCCAGGGCTATAAGTCCACAGGCCTTGGCAGCTGGGGCAGTGGTGCCTGTGCCTGGGATGGAGCAAAAGCTCGCTTGGAGTAAACCACAGGGAACACGCCACCTTCCTGATGGGTGCTGGGCACCTGGGCCCCACAGCCTACCAGGTGAGGGTTGTACAGCTAACTCAGGGTCTGTCCATAACTCTTGCATAACTCATGCAGAGCAGTGCATGATGGTAACATGCCCAGGGAACTCCATACCTGGCATAGCCCCTGGTCACCTTGGCCTGCTGCATGGTCTCCAACCTGATCTCAACATGCTGGCTTGTCCTGCCATGTTCTTTTCCCTCCCCTGAGCCCAGTGGGTCTGGAAGTGACTGGAACATTACAGAATGGATCTAGCTGGCCCTGCCCTTTCTGTTGTGGGACACTGGACAGGTGACCATTGGCCTCAATCTCCTCAGCTACAGAACAAGGAATAGAACATAATCCATGAGGGGCACAAAGGAAGGCTGCATGCAGGTTCTTTTCTCTGTGCCTGAACTGTAGAAAATCCTTCTAAATCCTAATCATGTCATCAGTGAAGTCATTACTACACTGCTTATTTTCTGTCTGGCTGGTTAGGACCAGAAGATTCCTACCTGTGGTCATTCGTGGTGTTGCCAGGATGGTATCCGGCAGAGTGGTCTCGGCACATATGTTACGGGACCTTTCTCTTTTTCCTAGCAGAAGCCTTTCACTTTTCCATTGCCTACAGGTCTTGGGAGAAAAATGAGTGAGACTGTTGGCTCTAGGAGCAGGTGCTCTGGATAAGCCATGAAGTTCGTTGGTCAGCAGTGTGGTTTCATCGCTGCTGTAGCTTGCATCGGCACTTTGTTCTCTTACGTGGCTGAGTAATAGTCCATTGTATGTGTACACTGTGTTCTGTCTGCCCATCCATGTGGATGAACGTTCACGTTGCTTCCATATTGGGGCTGTTGTGAAAAATGCTGCTGTGAATGTATATGTACATGTATTTGTTGCAGTTCCTGTTTTCATTTTGGGAGGTGGTAAAGTGATTTGGGTGAATTATTTGTGTATCTCTTTCATTTCCTAGGATTGGACTTGCTGGGTCATATGGGAGCTCTGTGTTTAACTTATTGAAATACCAAGCATTGCCTCTTTAAAAAGCATCCAGTTAGTGGTCGAGGGATGGTGGGGAAGAAGGCGGGTACCTCTGAATGCTCATAGTCTAGGGTAGATGCGTTTCCAGACTGTTTCAGTATTAGTTCCTTTTCCACCACCGTGACCAAGTACATGACAAAATAACTTAGTTGTTTCAGAGAGTTGTTTCCATTTTAGAGAGCTCAGTCCATGGTCACTTGTCCCATGACCTTGGGTAGAACATCATGGTGGTGGGAGTGTGTGGCAGATAGTTGTTCCTTACTTCTTGGCAGACAGGAAGCAGAGAACAAGACAGGAAGGGTCTAGAGATCATATACCCTCCAAGGACCCCTCCCCCACAGCGCCCTACTTCCTCCAGCTAGGTCCCACCTGCTAAAGGTTCCAGAACCTCCCCAAACAGCCACCAGCTGTGGATCACCTTTTAGAAACATGAGTCTGTGGGAGACATTTCATAAGCAAACCATAACAGTTTCTTAACTACAGTAGTTCTGAATACTGGTAGTTGTTCAATAGGTGTTGAATAGATGGATGGGTAGATGGATGGATGGATGATGGATAGATGGATGGATGGTGGGTAGATGGATGGATAGATGGAAAGATGGTAGGATGGATAGGTAGAGAGATAGATGAATGGATGGATGGAAGGACTGGTGGATAGATGTAGATGGGTGAATGGACAGCTGGGTGGATGCATGGACGGATGAGTGATGGTGAGAGATGGGTGGAAGGATGGTAGATGGACAGTGGATTGATGGAGAGGTGGGAATGGTGGATGAGAGATGGTGGAGTGGATGGATGGATGGAGAGATGGGTGGGCGGGGAGATGGGTGGGTGGGTGATGAAGAAGATAGATGGTACATAGATGATAGATGGAGAGATGGGTGAATGGACGGATAATAGATGGAGGGATGAGTGGATGGATGGAGAGATGGGTAGATGGGTGGATGGATGGTAGATAGACGGTGGATGGACAGATGAAGAGATTAGTGGATGAGTGGATGGATGACTGGACAAACGGCAGGATGGGTGCATGGATGGATGGTAAATGGATGGATGATGGAGAGGAATAGATGGCAGATGGATGATGGATGAAGTAGATGGATGGAAGGACAATGGATGGTGGATAGTGGAGAGATGGTGGGTGGATGATGAAGAGATGAATAGCAGGTGGATGATGGATCAATGGATGGTGGGTGAATGATGGATGGATGGATGGTGGATGGATGGATTGAGGATGATAGAGAGTGGATAGATGAATGAATGGTGGATGGATGGATAAATGGATAAATGGATGGATGGATGGATGGATGATGAATGGATAGATGATGGAGGGACGGGTGGATGGGGAGAGGAGTGAATGGATGGATAGATGACTGGATGGGCCAGCTTAGCTTGAGTGATTTTCAGAAACAGCAGCTACCTGTAAAAAGATTCAGCCCTGAGGCACATTATCCTCTAGAGGTTTGGCCTGGGGTGCTGTCCTCCCAAAGCACCAGACTGGGTCTCCCAGGTTCCCCTGTGAACATAAACAAGGTTCCTTGTGCTGCTTGTTCACGAGCTTTTGTCCTTTTCCAGGGTGACATCCAGCAGCTACTGTTCGTCTCAGACCACCGTGCAGCTTACGATTACTGTGAGCACTACAGCCCTGACTGTGACACCGCCGTCCCCGACACCCCCCAGTCACAGGATCCCAACCCTGATGAATACGTGAGTCAGCTCCAGCAGGGTTCATGGTGGGGAGCATGGGCAAGACCCTCGGGGATGGTGTAGGGTCAGTAAGGAAGGTCATTTGTGGAGGGACGCAGAAGCCCTGTTTTAAAAAAATCCCGGGTGAGGAAGTGAATGAGCCCAGGAGATGAACTGTGGAATACCTGACTCAGTTTACCCAACAGTACTTCTCTAAATGATGTGGCCTCTCTCGGGGGCAATGTTGGCACCCTCCCTCTTAACCCTTCAAACATGTCCCTACATAAATGCAGCCAGACAATCTCACCCTTGGCCGTGGTCTCTGTGGGGCTCTGTGACTCTGTGGGGCCACCTGAAACTTGCACTTAGGCTGTTTAGTGCAGATTGGCTGGTCCTCTGATTCCCAGAGTGTTTGCTACTCTGAAGGATGGCCTATCCTGACTGTTTGTGGGATGAGGCATCTTTGTCCCTCTTACTGTGGTCCACTGTGGTCCTCAGTCAGCCTTTCTCACCCACCTGCCCCCAGGTGTAGCACCTTGGTTTATTTCATCTCAGTTCTTCCTGGCACTTACATATGAAGATCCTGTCCTACCCTTGGTCAAATTTGGCTCGCATTTTTTCAGTCACATTGCATTCTACTCTATTTTTCCTTCAGCCTCCCTTCTTCACCACTAGCCAGACACAGGCTTTCATGGCCCAGATGCACCTCAGTAACCCTGAGAGCAGGGCTGGATGGAGCTGCAGCCAGGCCAAGCCCCTTCTTCCTGATGAGGACATGTTTCTGAGGGCAGAGCTGCTCCTCTGCCACTATGAAGTCCCCCTCATTGGGTCTCTCTCTGGGGTTTGGGTTTTGGGGCTATCAGGAACTTGCTGCTGCATCCAGGACTAGCTCTGGTCCACACCTTTTTGGCTTCAGCTTTCTCTGACTTCTGCTCAAGCCCCCACTCCAACCCTGTCACCTTCCTGGATTTTGTTCTGGGCTGGCTCAGCTTTCGAGGGGACTACAGAGGGAACAGCCCCATCCACAGACTTTCAGACAGGTTCATGCCTAGGGCTGGGCAGTGCTCTGTGGTATACACTCTGAGGGTGAAGTGTAGCAAGGTGCTTTCACAGTGTCTCTCCTTCCTCATGTGGCCACCAATTGACTTTCAGTACCCAGAAGGAGAGGGCGAAGGTGACACCTATTATTATGAGTATCCCTATTATGAAGATCCTGAAGACCTGGGGAAGGAGCCCACCTCCACCAAGAAGCCAGTGGAAGCCGCGAGAGAAACCACGGAGATTCCCGAGGTCTGGGCTGAGGCGGGGTCTGGGCTGAGTTGGGTTTGTGCCAGGCTAGCTCCTGGTCCCTTAAGGCCATGGTGCAAGGAGGGTGAGGCTGTGCTCAGTGTAAGGTCAAGGCTGATTTTGGAGGGAAGGGAGGAGGCTTCCCATGACTGTGACCAGAGTCACTCTTGTGTGCTCACAAGAGTGCCGAGAAAAGGCTGTCCACAGAGAGATGGAGTGTAAAGGAGGGCTGTCCTCATTGTGTGGCTGGGCACCGGCTTCTAGACCACACTTTGTTCACCAGCTGCATGGCCTTGGGCAGGTGCCAGGATAAACCTGGGTTTCAGGTCCCTAGGCTCTGGGTCATGTTGCCATCTGCGGATTGGTGGCAGTAACTGTCCTCTCTGCACGTGGTGTATGCATGGTTGTTACATCCTCAGCACTGGGCTCAGTGATGGACAGGGAGGGCCATGAGAGAGTGTGCATGGGTGGGTGAGTGTCGTCCAGGCAAAGGAAGACAAGTCTTGTATTGATCGAAGGGTCTGGAACATTCTGCACTTTTATAAACCTTGAGACATGGTTCACAGTGTTGACACTGGTAGGCCATGGGGTGGTCTTCACGGTGTGGCTGGAGGCCCATGCACTGGGCCACTTTTTCTTCCCTCCAGCTCTGCCTTCCTGGCATGGACTGAGGGCCCTGCTCCCCAAGTCCACAGGCCTCTGTGGGGTTCTACATCCAGGCTCTGCTCACCTTCGTGCTGCAGAGATGCTTGTCCTGGAGCGCATGAGAAATCCTGAGGCTGGACCCTAACTCTGCTGCTCTCTGCCCTTGGTCCCCAGGAGCTGACCCAGCCCCCCACAGAAGCCCCAACGGTGCCTGAGACCAGTGAGACGGCTGGGAAGGAGGATCTTGGTATCGGGGACTATGACTATGTTCCCATCGATGACTACTATACACCGTCCCCATATGAGGACCCCAACTATGGCGAGGGTGCAGAGAACCCTGACCAGCCCAGCAACCCTGACTCCGGGGTTGAGGTCCCCACCACCACCATGGTCACCTCCAACTCCTCCAATGTAATTTCCTTCCCTCCTCTTTGGCAGGGTCAAGGGGGTGCAGCAAGGCCATGGCTAGCGGGCCAGGACTCCTGAGCTCCCTTGCGTTCTCTGATTCTCACCTTGGGTGTTCTTGAGTTGCTCCCCCCTGCCCAGGCCCTCTGCAGTGGGCTGTGTTACATATTCCCTAGGGATGGCATTCCTATTTGTCTTTTGGAAACTCTGGCTTGCTGAGTTATCTGTGCTGATTTTTCTCCTGCAAAATGGGTGGAATGGTCCTGGCCCTTCAGATTCCTTGGGGTTCAGGTGGAGATTTGATAAGGAGGACCCTGCTTATAGACAGAGTCTTCCCTGTGAGCAGACAAGGACAGACAAACCTGAGGCTGGGAAATGTTGGTGAAGACGGTGGGCTTCATATCAGTCAGGCTGGCTTGAAATTGCTACCTTGGTTTCTACCTTGGAGCTCTGCCTGTGACCTTGGAAAGTTACCTCTCCTATTTGAGCTCAGTGTTCTCATTTGTTCTGACAATGCTGCTTCTTGGTTGCTGGGGTTTTCAACTTCGGGTGGAGTTTTACCCAGCACATGGCATAAAGCGAATGCTCAAATAGCCTTTCTATGGTGCCTAATTCTTGACTGCCAGAGAGGACACACAGTTCCAGAAGGTCCATCCGGAACATAGAGTCACCAGGTGTGCGGCATGGCTAGTGAGGGGTGCTGTAGCCTGGCCCTGCCCTAGCTTGTTCTGGTCCCTTGCGTAGGCTTGGATGATCATCCCTGTGGTGATTGAGAGGTGTGGAGAGGGGCTCTAGGGGCTTCTCCACCCCTCTGGCCTCCAGCTCCAGGTGTTCTGTGGCAGGGAGCTGCTGGGTGCAATGTCTTGGAAGTACCAGGCACAGTGTCTATGGGGAGAGATGTCCTGTCCATGTAGCTGCACTCCACAGGTGACTTTGCTGCTCCTGCCCCTCCCTCTGCAGCCGGCTCCATCTCCAGAGGAAGGGAGGGATGACCTGGAGGGCGAGTTCACTGAGGAAACCATCAAGAACCTGGATGAGAACTACTATGACCCTTACTATGACCCAGACTCCAGCGCCTCCCCATCAGAGATCGGGCCAGGCATGCCGGCAAACCAGGACACCATCTATGAGGGGGTGAGGTGCCATCTGTGCTGTGGGTGGGAGCCGGTGGACTGGTGGGGCAGGAGCCACCTACCTGGACCTCTGTGAGCACTGGCAGTGGTTCAGCCATCTCCACAGATTTATTTTCTAAAGTTCCCTTGGGTTCTCAGACGGTTTGGTAGTTGGAGCTCTGCAGCATGACTGTCTGGGGTACATGCCTAGCCTCTCCCTGGTCTTCTGTTCCTTCATCAGTACTTGATTGACTTTCGGGCTCCCCTGCCTTATCACCCTTATTCTTCCTGTCTGGAGAAGATGTCTTTGTTTGTTAGGTTGTGTAAGCTTTATGTGACAAGGACTTTCTATCCCCTCTCCTCTCTCTTCTGCATCTTATCACCCACAGATTGGAGGACCACGGGGCGAGAAAGGTCAGAAGGGAGAACCAGCGATCATCGAGCCAGTAAGGATGTTTTCTCATCATTTCTCTGAAACGGGGTGTCTGCTGTTTGGGGTCCATGTAGAGAGTGATCCAATCTGAGGGGCATCTGTCTGGGGCCACTCTGGGAGCTCCTGTCCTCATAGATTCCTCATCAATGCATGGGAGAGACTTGGGAAAGGCCCCGGCGTGGGGAAATGTCCTCTAGCTTGGTTGAGGTGCTGAGAGGTGTGTGCAAGACCTGCCAGGCTGCAGAGGACGAGGAGAGTCTGAGCACTTCTTTATCTCAGTTTCACCTTGATAAAAGGGAACCTGAGAAGGAGAACAGGGTGCTTCTGAAGTGAGGGGATGAGGATCACAGGCTTAGTGTCAACACCTGGCAGACACCGCAGGGCAGGGCAGGGCAGTCAGCCAAGGGCTTGGTCTCTCCGTGCCTATTATGCAAGCGTTTGGAGTCTGTGTGCTGCAACTGTTGAAATACGGAAGACTATGAAGCCATGTCAGGGAATTAAGTAGAACAGGCTGCTAATATTCCAGTTGAGTAAAGTTCAGCTGTGCGGCAAAGGGATCCTAGGTAAGTTAAGCGTGTCAAGGTGGTGCAGAGGCTGTTCGCCATGCCTTTCTTGGAGCCATGAGCTTGGGGGAGGGGAGCTGTCGAATGCTGGGAGGACCTCATTCCTCCAGGTGCTGTGGCCTACTTGGGAGCCCCCAAGTTCTCCCCGGGGCCTCAGATATGCTAAGGTTAGGACCTTGATCCCTAGAGGGCAAAGCTGTGTGATCAGCCCAGCTGGGTTGCCAGCTCTGCACATGGCAGAAGAAAACGGGACCGACCATAAGAAAGGGTAGGTGTCCAAGGCTCTGTGGGACAGGCTGGGCTGACACCTTTGATTAAACCTTCTGTGAGCTGGCTGTCAGGATGTGATGCCTCAGCTATGATAGTGGGTGTTGATGAGGAGAGGATCCTGTTGAGGGGGTGGGTCTTTGGAAGTGGGCAGTGGACAGGGTAGACCAGAGGACAGGGCTAAGAGAGAGACAATCCAACCCAAATGTTGCATCGCTAGAAAACCCAGCTCCTCTTTGCTGGGATGGCACAAACCATCTGGAGGCAGTTAAGGAAGGGCTCTGTCCCCCTGCCTCCTGCCTGGCATTTGCTTCTTCCCAACCCCAACCCCCAACCCCTTCAGTGTCCACAGGGCCTTTGGCCAGTCCCCTGGAGAGATCATGTAAACAGTTGGAATTATCAACCCCAAACCTTGCCAGATGTCCTCCGAGTCGTAGCTGCATATAAACAGATGTCCAGGGCCTGGGAGACTGCTCCCACCTCCTCGGCCCTGTGCTGGGGTCAGGGAGAGTGGGGGCTGGCTGATGTCCCCTCTCTTCCCACATCTGCCCCACTGGATCTCCTAGGGGACAGGGCTCACTGCAGTTTGAGTGCACAGAGCCAGTTTCTCCTGTCTACATCCAGGCCAGGTAGTGGCAGGTTTTTCTCCCTCCTCTGGCTCTTCAAATTTGCCAGCAATACCAGGGGTTTCATAAAAGGATGGATTCCACCTAACTGAGGAGACAGAGCCACTAATGTTTTGGGGCTTGGCCTATACTGGGCTCCGGGACCAGGAAGTCCCAATTCGATGCCCCCCCCACTCCACACCCAGTAGGCATCTATTGGGAGCACCAACCAATCAGCTCTACTTTTCCTGGCTTATTATTATTTTAAAAATCTGTACCTCTATTAAAAATTGTTTTGAAGCTGGCAGCAGTGGTGCACTCTATAATGCCAGCACTGGAGGACAGGGATGACTGAGGCAGGAAGATTAGGAATTCAAGGCAGCCTGGGCTCCATAGGGAGTCCTGTCCTAGAAAACACAAAAGAAAACAAAAAAGACTTGTTTTGAGTTCAGCAGTCTGACATCTTTTATTTCATGTGTTTATTATTTAATTGTATACATTTAAGGTGACAAACGCCGTGATGTTTGATGTACTTACCTCGATGACCTACACAGTGAAGTGGTTATCGCAATCAAGCAAATTGACCACCAGCTCACGTTCTTTCTTTTCTTTTGTGTGTATGCGATAGTCCCTAGAATAGACTGGCAAATTGCCAGCACATAAAACTCTATGATTAGCTACAATGACTGCTTCTATTATAGTTCCCTGCCACCGACGCGTTTTGGGGCTGGCAGTGGGAGGGCCAGGTGTGAATAGAGCCAGCCGGCCTCTTAGGGTCCCAGGTCAGACCTGGGAAAGCTCCAGCGTCCCTCTGCCTGGCTTATTCACCAGCCATCTTGGCTTCCTTTCCAAGCTGACCTGGGATGATCGAGCGTTGGCTTCTTATGAGACCCTGGCCAGTACTGCCCCAGGTCCCCAAAACAAAAGCATGTGTGTCTGAGAAGACAGCTGCCATCCCCCGGGCCTTGTGAGGACCAGTGGCTCCTCACTTAGTCCCCGCTTAGTTCCTGAGCCCTCTCAGCTGCCTGTCAGAGGGGAGAGGGGAAGAAGCTGGGACAGTGAGGACGTTTGGATGAGCTCTGTGTCCATCATACACACAAATGTTTCTCTGAGCACACATCTGAGTAAACACAGCCTGCAACTTCCCAGCCACAGGGTGGCCGCAGGGTCTGTAGCCTCCTGGCTGGGTGTGTCTCTCCCCTTCCACCCTGGCCTGGTGCCCACACCTGCTGGTGCCCACGTGCTTCTGACTAGGTAGGTCTTGTCACTTATCCAGAGCACGCCTAGGTTTGACAAGAGGGTCAGGTGACTTCAAAGACACATCCAGGACACAGTGGCCCTGGTTAACCCTACAGGGAAGCCATTCCTATTTTCCTTTGGTCCTCTGGTTGGACCAGAGGGAGGATCCACCCCAGGGCCAAGGTTGTCAGCCCTTTCACTCCATTCCTTTAGTCCCAAGAACGGATGGGGAGGTCACAGCTTGTCATTAACCTGCATGTGGCTGACCTGGGTGGTAAGTAAGTGCAGCCAGCCTGGGAGGTCCCCAAGAGCATGGCCCCAAGACTCCAGGAACCAGCCCTGCCAGGGCAGAGACCTTTCCCTTTGGGACACTCCCTGAAGTGGGCATGGGACAAAGGACATTCAGGGTGGGGAATGATGTCCTGTTCAGGTTAGCAGTGAAAAAGGAGTCCGGGAAGGGGGCTGGAAATTCAGGGCCCAGAGCAGGAAGCTCCTCTTGACCAGGGGGCTCTCAGAGGGGCAGGAGGCCCAGGGAGCTGGAGGCAGGGTGGGTCTGGGCCTAGAGAGGCAAAGGATGGGGAGGAAGGTGGCTGTGGGCCAGGTGGACTTGGCAAGGCTCTGGGTGGCTACTGGTACTTGGGAGGAGGTATCTCCCACCTGTGGGCATTGGGGCTCCCGGCCACCGCACCAGGCCTGAGAGCTCTCCATCTGCAGCCTCAGCCTGGGGGCCTCTTTCCTCTTTCCTTCCTGAAATGACTGGCTACTCAGGTGGGCCAGGGCCTGCAACCTGCTTGGACATCCCATGGGCAGACAGTCTGAGTGGGGTTGGTGGTCTGAGCTTTCTCTCACTTTGGCATCTTAGGGTGCTTCCCTTGAAGCTGTGCTTGAGGGGAGTCTGTCAGCTCCTGACCACTGACCAAGGCTTGTCCTTGTACCTTGGAATGTGAGGAGGACGGTCATTGCTGTCCCCACCTCAGACACATGCTCCCATGAGCACATGAGGACAAGAGCTGACCTGCGGGTCAGGAAGTCTAAATCTGTGGCCTGTTGTCCATCCAGCTCCGAGGCCACCCCTCCCCCACAGGGCCTGGGAACCTGGCCTGGGGGTGTGGTCTCTGACTCCTCTCTGTTTCTGCAGGGCATGCTCATGGAGGGGCCACCTGGCCCAGAAGGTCCTGCTGTGAGTGTCAGATTTTATTTTCACACGACTAGAGGGAGGGCCTGGGGGGGTGACACCGGTTCTGTCCCCTGGTCCTGCCTCAGCCCTTGCTTAGCTGGATGGGAATGGGGCCCCTCCCTGTGGCCCCGTCCTTAACTTTGTCTTGCTTTTACTTTTAATTCTAGGGTCTTCCGGGACCTCCTGGATCCACAGGTCCCACTGGCCAAGTGGGTGACCCTGGAGAAAGGGTAAGAGGTTGGCTCAGTTCCCCGAGACTGTGCACTCTGTGTGGCTGTCTGCGCATCCCTCATCCCGGGCTTGTCTGCGTGTCCTTCCTGCTCTGTGTCCTGTGTTGTTCCTCAAGACAGAGACGACAATAGGCACTTTGATTCCTTCTTCCAGTTGTCCTTTGCCCCAGCTACCTCTAACACCACCCACCCCCTCAGATCCTTACGTGGTTGACCCTGTGCCGGATACCGGCAGCGTCTCGAAGTGTGGGACCCAGCCAGGGCCAGAGGCAGCCTGTGACAGTGCCCTGCGCTAGTGTGAAAAGGACAACGTTAATCAGCATTGAAGGGCTCCGGCACTTTCTGTGTCCCAAGTGCAGCCAGACGACCTAGAACCTTATTCCCTGCTCCCCTCCAGCCACTCCTGTGGAAAATGCAGCCACTGGGGAGGCTTGTTCTGGGTGTGTCCCAGGAGGGAGGCCAGCCATGCCCCGGCCCACGAGCTCCTTCTGACACCTGGTGGCTCTTTGGAGTATTGCAGCCTTGTGGTACTCTTTTTTTGTTGTTGTTGTTGTTTCTTTTTTTTGTTTTTGTTTTTCCTGCTGACCTAATGAATATCCTTATCTGTGTGATCAGGATCTCCACTGCTCAGCCCTACCAACCCTACAGCATTTCTAAGGCCTTTGCTAATTAATTCCTGCTGTTTAATGTGACCTGTTTGGGCCTTTTCTTCCTAACTGGAAGATGGGCTTTTTCCTCCCATCTGTATCTCCTTGTGTCCTTTCCTCTGTACCCTGCACCTGGTGGGCATTCTGTGGGCATCTGTGGCTGGGGGCTGTAAGTGGCCTGCACAGTGTGTCCTCTGACATCTTATTGGGGCAGGTGTCCTATGTCCTGCACCCTGAGTGGATGCCACAGTCCCAGTCCTGGTGCCACTGGACTGGACCCTGTGTTCGCTTCTGTCTCTGACTCTCTCATGCTCCCTTTAGGCTGCACTCCCTGACTGATCTTCCATTCCACCTCTCTGTTGCCTGCTTCTCGAGTCCTTTCCTGCTCTTGTGTGGAGTGGAGAGAGACCAGTTTCCCTTCATTAGTAGAACATGCAGGGTAGGCAGGGCACTTGCTAATGCCCCTGGGGATGGAGGCAGTGCTGGAGCAAGTGCAGATCTCCTGGTGCACAGACTGGCGCTCTACTCTTACGCTGAACTCAGGAGAAAACCAGAGTCCAGGAAGCTGCTGCATTCTCTCTGGGACTGGGACCAGGGCTTTTTCTCTGTCAGAGCTGGTTTCTGTTACACTCAGCAACATTTTCAAAGGTGTGGACTCTTTTGGCCATCCTGGGATGTTGGTGGGTCTAAAATCATTGGAGCTGCACATTTGCAAGCTGACACGGCCTGTGCAAACCTTCCTGGTGATCCATTCTTGTGGGATGCTGAGCTATGTTTCTTTATTGAGCCCTACCCAGGGCTCCTTGGGCAAGTGGTTGGGGGGACAGCTCAGTCCTCCTTCCCTGGATTTCCAGAGCTGTTGGTAGTGAGACCCATACCCACCAGCCTCCAGCCTGTATGGAGAGGCCTGGAGGGTAGGGAAGAGCTCTGTACTGCTCAGTGGCATCCCGCACCCCCAGTGTTAGGCCAAAACTAGTACATTCTTGAGTTTTAAGGCAGCTCTGAGGATGAGCTGATGTGATGTGGGCTGGACTGCGTTTTTCTGGGTGCCGTGGCTAAATCACCCCTGCAGCTCAGCAGTCACTGGAGAGTGCAGTCTCTGGAACGTCAACCTTTACCTCCACATAATTGACTCCTGAGCCCGTGCTGGTGGTGTTGCCTGGCTTCTGCCACTTGGACCTCCAGGGGCACTTCTCACAGAAGCAGCCTGGCAGTTTCCGCCCAGCTGTCTGACCAGCCCACGCTCCCATTTGGCAGGGGCTCGGCCCTTCCCCTTTTGTGCTTCCTGGACTGGTCTTCCCTGTGGGATTTTGTTTGAACACATTTTCTTTGCCTTAAAAATGTTTGTAAACAGGCCTGGCTTTGTGACTTGTGCTAGCTGTAATCAGGAGGCAGAGATCTGGAGGTTCACAGTTTGAGCACTCCCCTCCCTCCAGCAAAAACCAATAAGCCAGACGTGGTGGTACATACCTGTCATCCCAGCTATGTAGGAAGTGTAGGTAGGAGGACTGTGGTCCTGCTGGCCCTGGGGGAAAATGTGCGACCCTGTTTGCAAAATAACTAAAGAAAAAAGGACTGGGAGTGTGACTCAAAGGGTAGAATGCTTGCCTAGCAAGCACAAAACTCAGTTGAAAAACCCCAGTACAGCAAAAAGAAGTTTGCAAGCCATGCCCTAAGGAATATCAGTTACCACCTTTCATGCTAGGAAGTGTGATTGACAGGTGCCTAATAGGTGCTTGTGTTGCTTCCCAGTACTGGCCTCAGGCTGTACCCTGTATGCCATCACTGACCCTGGCCTGCTGGACTGGTGCCCAGCAGGGGTACAGACACAGGCTGGTCACTCACTATTTCCTGACTGAGAGGGTTCCATGAGTGGGCAGGTGCAGCACAGCACTGGAGGGCTAGTGCGGGGAGGTAGGAGACAGCATGGGCTCATCTGTCACATCACCCAGCCTCGTGGTGCACAGCAGCCGGTCCAGTCTCTGTGCTCAGAAGTGTCCAGATATGACGGCAGAGCTCTCCAGGGCAGCACACCCCCACACAACCTCAGACACACACACACACACACACACACACATGAAGTATATGCACACACAGTGCACACACAGCATACACAAACATGCATGCACATACAATGTGCACAGACCCAACTACACACAAGAAATGTGTGCACACATGTGCACGCACACAGTACATACATGTGCTTGCATACTCATGCACACAGACCTACATACATGCACACAATATATACAGGCATGTACACACAGACACCAACACACTTGGTATATACATGCACACACATGCATGTACACACAGACACACTCATGCATGCACACACAATATGCACACATACATACACAGGTGTGTGCAGCAAGGCATACACACATCTATATATTCATGCACATATACACACATGTGCACCTGGTCTGGGTTCATTCCAAAGTGCTGGCCCTGCAGAGAGGGCCAACTGCTCCTGGAAGGCTGTTCCCAGCAGGCTGGTCTCCAGTGAACCCCAGCTGTCCCTTGAGACCACTGGTGGGCATGGTCCAGGCTTTAGATGCCTTTTCAGAAGTCCTGTGGGATGGGTGGGTCTCCCCCAGCATATGGAACAAGATCCATTTGAGTGTGTGCATTTGATACACGAAGAAACCCCATTGCTCATGGAGAGGTAGGGGAGAGAGAATGCCCACGGTACGTAGAACAGAGGGACAGTGAGCAAAACTCCCAAGCTGGGGCCTGGGACATGTGTGCTGCAACTGGACTGTGTGGCTGTGGGCTGTTCTTGAAGTTCCATGCTTGGAAATGACCATGCATGCTAGAGCAGGTGCTCGTTATGTGGCCCCTAGGCCTGCTGGGCTTTCTGAGAGCCATTGTCCTTGGTGGTCAGCAGGTAGAGACCTGCCTGTGGGTTTCCTGGTCACTAATCTTGGTGGATGGGTGCCGTCTTAGGCCTTCTGCTATGGGAAGGCCTCTGTTTTGGAAGGAGCTGGAGGGATCTAGTGCTTGGAAGGGGCTCAGGAAATCCTTGCCCAGTAAACAAATCCTGAGTCCACTTCCCAGGTCTACCCCAACAAATTCCCACAAACGTGGGGCTTAAAACAGAAATTCCTTCTCTCCCAGTTCTGAAGTCCAGGGGCTGTGACCACGCTCCTGTGATCAGTGGCTATGCCACTCCATCTCTGCCTCTCCTCTATTTCCCTCTTGTGTCTCTGTCTCCCTATCTCTTTTACGTGGACTTGCCCTTGGATTTAGGGGTTACCTTAACCTGGGATGAGCACATCTCAGGATCCTTAACTTAATTGCATCTGCAGTGACCTTTTTCCAAGTCAGGTCGTTCCCAGGTTCTGGGACATGAATATACCTTGTACAGGAGCCTCTGTTCCGCCCACTACACATGGCCATGCACATGTTCTGCACGGATCTGGAAGTGACCACCAAGAGCATTGCTGTGACTGTGTGGGTTGGCAGCAGGGCCTGATGAATACCACGTGCATGTGAGGCTCTAGGAAGCTGAATGCCCTGCCATCCCCTTCTCTGAGTCTGTCTGAGAGCAAGCAGAACCATTTCAGCAAAGGCTGTTCTGGTCTGGGCTTCCCAATCCTGTCGCTATCATCAGAGACAAAGGGGTAGACTTCTCTGGTTTCTGCTTTGGCCCATACCTCAGCCTGGAAGGGTTTGTGCTCCCTGTGAGGCTCAATTTCAGGGTATGAGTCTGCAGTGGCAGCAGAGGTGACTTGCAAGGCATCTGATCCCTGTCACGGCCTCTGTGTGCAGAAGATGCTGGGACGTCCTTAGGAAGAGTCCCTGTTAGACACCACTGATTTCTTAGTCCTGCTCATCTTAGTTGCATCATCACCTGGTATAGGTGAGGCACAGAGGGCCCTTCTAGGCCAGGGCTTGCAGAATATCCTCGTGGGACCAAGGGCATTGACTTGGGGGCAGCTGATGAATTGATACAGAGAAACACATGCTGACATAGAGTGAGGACCAGGCAATAGTTCTAGTTTTATCTTAACCCCTGGCCAGCGCTGAGTAAAGTCCCTATGGGATCTGCATCAGCTTGCTGGCATGTCCCCTCAGGGTCTGACATTGGCCGTGCAATAGGTGAGAGCCATGTCAGTCTGTGTTCAGTGTCACCAAGAATGGAAAGGTGACTTTGAGATGTAGCTTACCTTCCAGCTGGGGCCCAGCCTTTGTGTCAGGACTGTGGCACTTGGTGTGGGCTGCTGGTGGGTTTTCAAGCAATTGTAAGCACAAGTTCAGGTTAGAGATGTGCAGGGCATGTGTCAGGTTTCCATCTGGAAGGATTCACAGGGCAGGCATCCTTTCTTTTCTCCTCCATGCTGTCTCTTTCTTCCAGGGCCTCCACTTTATCCTGGTTCACCAGCTCTACATTCTTGGGGGTTGTGGCTTCCATTTTGAGAGGAAACTGCTCTCACAGCCAATGTGGTGGATTAGGAGGAGTGGGAGAAAGGGCCTGAAGCGAGGTCTTTGGAAGTGGAGAGCAGTGAACAAGGGTCGGCTCTCAGAGTGCCTCTGGCCTCCAGCACCCTGCACCATAGAATGGGAGAGTGTGTACACACACACGTGTTCACACACCTGCACACACACACGTATTAACAACCTCTGCACATGCATGCATACAAAAGCACAGCCCCCTACATGCTCATGTATACACAATATGCACGTGCACATGCATACACCATATGCCACAGAGACAATGTGTCATTCCTAGGAGACATGAACCCCAAGCATTAAATTGGAGGTTTGGCTGGTGACCAGTTCTGAGCTGGGTCACCATGAGCATTTGATTTTAATGAGGAAGCCTGGGTCACAAAGTGTTCTGGATCTGGATCTTTGTGCGTGTGTGTGTGCTTTTCTTCATTGCTCAGGATGGAACTCAGGGCCTTGCACACACTTGTCACCTGCTTTACCACTGACCTCCATCCCCCGCCCTGGAGCTTGCTTTCTTAAATAGAATTTTTGTAGCTTGAGAATTTTTTCCAAAATGGTGGGTGAGGCTCCATTAGCAATTAAAACATACGTGCTATAAATCCCTTGAGCCGGCCGCTGTGCATCCAGGGGCCTGCCCGGCATGTGTCCACTGCGGGTACTCACTGTGACGGCATTTTTCCTGACAGCTGGAGCCATCCAAGTGTGTCAGCCGAAGACAGGTGAAATAAATGTGGAGCCCACTGTGCCCAGGAGACTGCAGGAGTGAGTGAGGACCGTGACACACACAGGCCATGGTCTGCAGTGAGAACAAAGAGCAAGTCTCAGGGCACTACGCAAGGACAGTCCCATTAAACATGAATGGCCACCTGTGGAGTGGCAGGCATGTTCAAAGTGCATGCTCGTAGCATGCGTGTGTGTGTTTCCAGCTGTGCTTCTGAGCACTCATGGGATTTCAGCCCTAGTCACTTCTGCAGGAGGAAGAGGCCTCCAACTGGTCACTCCCTGTACAGTGCAGCATTTCACAAGAGTATGAACTTGTGCGATAAAAGATACCTACTGTAGGAAGGCAGGCAGGGTCTGGTGGGCCCAGGCAATTCCACATCTGTCTGGGTAGCTCCATAGTGACTACTCAGGTCCATGGATTTTCTGGCTGGGATTCTGGGATCCACCTCATGTTCCCCCCTGAGGCTGTGGAAACACACACCTGAGTGTATCTGTGGCTGGTTCTGAAGATGGAATCCGTGCCCATCCATTGGACTGAGGGGGACTGGAGTCTTCCATGGGAGGAGGGGAGTTAAATGCTACACAGATAGTGAACAAACTCCATCTGCCCCCAGCCAGATGAAGTCTGCCTGCATTGGTGAGAAAGCTTTGGGATGGGATTTTAGTGGGAAAATAAAACAGCTTAGATGTTCTGCACTCATGTGGTCATGAAGTCTGCCAGAATCACTCAGGGGAAGGTTGTCTGGCTGTCCTGTGTCACAGACCAAAACCGTGTTCCTGAACTCGGGGGTGCTTGAAGTTGCTCGAGATGCCTTGTGTTCTTGGACCATCCTGATCACATCTTCCTCCTGTGTCTGTGTGAGCAAGTGGGTGCTCTGTCCTGTCTTCCAGCCCAGTGGCCACCGGCAGGGCTGGTGGGGCTGGATCCAGGATGAGCACCTCACTGGCAGCCTGGGAGTCCTAGATCTTATTTCCTGTTCCATATGCAGGCTGATGGGGTAATCCTGCCTTGGCAGGAGCCCACACAGGGACCCTGTCCCAACCTCCAGACTCCAGTCTTCCACCTTTCCTCTCTTAATTCCTCAGGATCCCACTCGGATCCCCTGCCCCCACTCTCCTGCCCAGAGCCTTTTCTGATTCTCACTCCACTGTCATGCCTCTGTCTTCTTTTGGTACTTTTCTTAGCCATGGGGTCTTTCATTGCTCTGTGCATGCCCAGCCTGGTTCCTCTGTCTTTTCACTCCTTCATTCATACTGTGACCCAGCTCCGTTCCTAATGGTATTCTAACCAGCTGCCTTCCCTCTTTGTCTGCAGGGTCCTCCTGGACGTCCAGGTCTCCCTGGGGCTGATGGCCTGCCCGGCCCTCCCGGGACTATGCTCATGCTGCCGGTGAGGATCCCGGGGTGGGGGTGGGCAGTGCAGGCAGGTGGGTCCTGGGAGGGGGATCCAGAATGTCATAGTGACTCAGGAGCGTGGAGGGGAGGCCAACCCGAGTGCAACCTCTCATTGGCATGGAAGAGAAATAGGAACAGCTTTGTGGAGTGGGCAAGAGTGAGGGGCCCAGGGGGTGGTATGTGGAGTTCCTGGTTCCCTAAAAATCATCTGGTGCTTGTCAGCAGGTGAGGACCAAGGGGCTGCCTTGGAAGTGACCTACCTCCTCGGTCAAATGTCATCTTTTGTAGCTGTAGTGGTTTATTCCAGAACTTTCTGGATTGGGGATCCTGTCTCCCACTGGTGTTGGTATTTAAACCTCAGTTATGTGTCACGATGAGGCACAGGCCCATGTTCTCTGTGTCTGTGATAAGATCACAGACAGTGATCCTGAGGCTCCCCAGTGGCTCAAAGCCAGCTCTGCCTTGTGCTCCCAGGACCCAGAGTTCCCTGGACAGCACATCCTTTAGCAGTTGCTCATTGCTGCTGCTAGCATTGGGATCCCTTCCATAGATTACAGGGGCCATGAAGGGACCTGAATTCCTGTTTAACTGCTGGAGAGCATGCTATGCTAGGGACCCTCCAGAGGTGCTCTCAGGGAGAGGGTCTGGGCAGATGAAGCCTCCCCAGGCTGCAGGGAGTGCAGAAGGTGGGGTGGGCGTGGATGGGGCTACATAAGCCCCTCGGTCTCCTCCTGAGTCTTAGCCCTGAGTGTACTTTCAAGTGCATTTCTGAGTGTGCTGTGCCCTCAGGACAGCCAGTGTAGAGGAGGAAGGAGGGTATTGCAGACTTCCCTTCCTGGGGCAGGTCTTGAAGAAGACAATGTTCAGATCTCAGGCTCTTTTTCTGGGGTCACCTGACAAAGGTACCATCTGTGTTGTAGCCCCAAGATGGATGTCACACATGGGGCGACCCAGTGTAGAACCAAGCTTGTCCTTTCCGGACCTTCTAGACACTGCCATATTCACCTGGCCCTTGGCTTTTCTTTGTGATAGCTAGGGGCTGTGGGGCCTCAGGGTGAGAAGCTGCAGAGGCCTAAAAGGGCTTTTATGAACACATGGAGGACTTTGGGGTATCCCCAGTTGACAGGGGGCAGCTCTAGCCGTGTGTGATGGGAGGGTTTGGGGCTGGATGATGCTGAACCAGACCCTCTGAGGCTCTGTGTCACCTAAGGCCTGAGAGCTCCACCTCAGCCTGGAATCAGTGTGGGCGCCATGTCAGCACCCTGGGGTGACCCCTCTTCTTGTTCCTACAGTTCCGTTTTGGAGGTGGTGGTGATGCAGGCTCCAAGGGACCCATGGTCTCTGCCCAGGAATCCCAGGCCCAGGCCATCCTCCAGCAGGCCAGGGTGAGTAATTAGGGTCCTGAGTTGGTGGGGGAGGCTCCAGGCTAAAGCTCCGAGCCCTAGTGACCGGGTGACTGTTCAGAGCCTGTGTGCTTGCCTGACAAGGTTAGGAGCCCCAGGAGGCTCAGGTCCCCTGTGTCTAGTTGGGGCACACAGAGAATTTTCTGACAGTTTCTCAGGATTGGGGAGGCCTCTGGGCCCCTGTAGCTTGTCTGACCCAGTGGGTCCACCTTCTCCTGTTTGCAGACACCAGCTTCAGTGCCAGGTCCTCCCCTGGAACCAAGGAAAGAGTGGGGAGAGACACTCTTTGGGGTTCTGGGAAGAGTTAGTTGGCTGCTCACATCAGCTTCCTAGGCTGGAACTGGGCAAAAAAGCTCCCTGGAAGAGAGTCCTTGGGCCCAGGGTCCCAAGGAGCAGGGCCTGTAGAGGCGTGTTTGCCTCTTGTTAGAAGTGGGTTCCTTCAGAAGTGCATCTGTAATGGATGTGGCTCCAGATTGTGGAGTGCCCAGGATAGGAGCTGGTGCTGCCCCATGGGGTTGGTGGGCTGGGGGATCCTTACTGGAGTATGCAAAGAAGCTGCTAAGTAGTTCCTTGTTTGCGAAATATTTATGTGGCTGCAGCATAGCTCGGAGTAGACATTAACGGTCAGAATGCGCGTGGATAATTGCAGCACAGTTTAAGTACTGAGCAGTTGCTGTAGAACAAATTGCCTGAATGATGCAAAGTGGAGCCTGACAAACCCGTTACCTGCGACAGGATTTATTGACTGGAGCCTGCCTGGCTGGCCTTTCATCCATGTGTATTTTCATTGAAGCCAAGTGGGTGATGGGTTTATAAGATGAATTTATAATGTGAAAGAGTCTTCCAAAGGTAAAATGACCTGGTGAGGGCAAGTGTCACCGAAGTACAATAGAGCAGTTCTTTGGGAAGGCTCGCAGGTAGATACCACGACCACAGGGTCACGTGTTGGGTGGAGAGCCCAGGGTAGTAGAGGTTCCCCACTCATCCCAAATATACCCCCAGTCTCTCAAGAGCGATTGGAATGCAGCCTGAGCTCCCAGGGAAATCCTGCTCCCCTGGTTCGAGCCAAAGGGGGCTGCAATTCACCTTCATCCCAAGGGACCAGGGACTGGGAACAGGGCCTCCCTAGGAGGCTGGAGAGGAAGATGGAGAGGAAAGAGGGCCCCTGTCCATGGGGAAGGGGTTGGTGCCACCGGCTTCCTCCTCTGCTCCCTTGCTTACCTGAGGGGATGCTGAGAGCCCAGAGGAGCAGAGCCAATGGTTGGACCTTCTTTGCAGTGCTTCTGGTTCTTGTCTGTCCTAGCTGCCCCTTCCTTCCTGTCCATGTCTCATGGGTCAGGAGCCAGCAAATCAGGCCACGGCTGCCATTGGCCATTTCTCACCATATCTCTCTTTCCTTTGCAGTTGGCGCTGAGGGGACCAGCTGGCCCTATGGGTCTTACAGGGAGACCCGGCCCCATGGTGAGTGGTTGGCAGGTCTGAGGCCAGGTGCTGGGATGGGGCTGGCTCTCTGCATGTGTGCTCAGAGGTCGGGGTGCTGTGCAGCCATGCACATCCTGTATCCATCCTGTATCTCTATTCCCAGCTGGCAGCCAGCAGGGATAGATGATGCCTCAACCCCTCGTGAGGTGGAGGAGGGGCAGCTAGGGGTCCCTGGGATAAAGTGCTCTGTTTTGAGTGGGGCAGGTCTTTGGAGGAGCTGGAGGGCTGGGAGGCCACGCCCACCCTCAGCTTTGAACTCCCGCCAGGTTCCTCTCACCGCCGTTTATCACAAAGCATAGGGCACATGGGTGGAGGTGGCCCCTCTAGGGACAGGGGCCTGCTGGACATCCCCGGAGGCTGAGCCTGGCACACGTCCGCTGGCTGGGACTTTGTTTCATGAATGGGATTGGGGTCTCCCTTCTTCCTTACAGTCTCAGGGTCAAAGGTAACCCCCTGTGGGACAAACTGCAGGATCTGCAGCTTTGGCTTAGGTCTCTCCTGGGTCACTCACAACCCGGGAATGCACTGAGGTGCTGGCTAAGTGTCAGGCACAGTGCTGGGCTCTGGGGTCTCACTGAACACGAACTCACAAGAAGACAGGATGTTGAAACCATGGAGGCCTCTGGCTGACTGGCCATCTGCCACCACCACAAGGGTCCGGGCTCAGAACCCTCTATCCGAGCTGGCTCAGGCCAGTCTCCCACACCCTGCAGCTCTTGCCTTTAACTGGGCCCACTGGTCATGCATGTTCTGCCCTAGTTAAAGCCTGTAAGGGACCATAGCCAAGACTGTCCTGGAGAGAGAAACCTCTCTATGACTTTGTGGCTCTTGTGAGCACCCCATCTGGGGTTTGTTCACCACTCGAAGAGCTCTGAACATCTGCATGGTTCACCCTGTCTCCAGATGTTACTGTTCTTCCCTCTGGTCTGCTCAAGGTGAGCAGGTTGGGCTGCATACGTTGAAAGCCATGTGCCAGCCTTGTGACGAGGCTCTGCCTGCTCCACACGCATTGTCTGCCGGGCCTCTCAGAGAGCTTTGATCTGCCTCGTGTCCTTCTCTGACCACATGCTAACCCAGTGCCGTCTCTCTAGGGTCCTCCTGGGAGTGGAGGTTTGAAGGGCGAACCAGGAGACATGGGGCCTCAGGTAGGTGGTAGTCTCATTTTTGCTCTTGGGAGGGTGGATCCTGGTTGCTGCATCTCTTCAAGGAAATATGTGGGAATTGTCATTTGACAGCAGGTGAGAAGTGACTGATGTCTACAGGCAAACAAGCCGACTGTGGTCGGTCCCCAGCCCTCACTCAGGGCAGCACATCTGTGCCCTGCTCCCAAGATGCCTCAGGCCAGGCTGATGAGCACAGGGACAAGGCTTTGCTCTTTCCTCAGAAGAAGGTGGACATGTCACTAACGATTTGTTCTCTGTCCCATAGGGCCCTCGAGGTGTGCAGGGCCCACCCGGCCCGGCAGGGAAGCCTGGAAGACGGGTGAGTATTTGGTGCTGGGAGAATATGGCTTGGGAACAGTAGCTTAGTCACAGTTGAGGATCTGTGCAGGACTTGTCCCCTCAGTGCTTCATGGTGTGACCTGACTCACTTATGGGAAGGTTATGTTCCTCTGTTTGAAGGGCATGTCTATCTCCATGGCTACATCTTCAGTGACTGCTCAGGAGGGATGCTCTTTGTCTGGGAGTGAGCTCTCCTGTCCTGCCCTCTATCCTCTGCACTGCGAGCATTCATTAGCTTAACAAACATGGAACGAAAGCCATTTCTCAGGCAGCAAGAGCTGTGTCTTTGGGGTGCCTCATGGCTCCACAGATGGTTCCAATTTCAGGGACGAGTCCAGGCCCCTGTAGCCCACCATTCTCCTCACCTCCTGAGATTTCCTGTTGGGAATGCTGCTCTGGATAGAACGAGCTGGTTTTCTTAGGAGCCTGGCTACCAGAAGAGGGCACATAGTTATAAGCAACGAACGCCCTCCAGGCAAGCTAGGGAAATCCTTCTGAACTCCATCGTGCTCCAACAACTGAACCTTCCCACCCAGGGTACGTGACCTGCCATCTGCTGCTGTGCCTTCTGAGTACCCAAGGTCAACAGAAGTCATCCTTGGTGGTCATGGCCCCTCCTGACTGGGGAGGGATCTGTAGGTTGGAAGTGAGAGTGACTACGTAAGCCATACTTCTTCCTGTGGCCCATGCAGGCACAGGTGTGAGGTGGCCGGGGAAGTGGCTGGGCTGCGTGAGTCCCAGACTGTAATATCCTGCTCTGAAATTTTTTGGCTTTCCCAACAACTGGAGAATTACCTTGGATCTGATTTGAGGAGCATTTTTTTTCTCGTTAGTTCTTCTTGTATGTCTGTAGATTCTCACTGTCAAGAGTCACTAGCATGTTCCCAGTCAGGGCCAGGTAAAACCTGAGAAGGGAAGATAGGGAACAAGCTGTGAGTCACAGTAGGACAAGCTGTGAGTTATAAGTTATGTTGGAGCTGTAAATCTGCCTGTGGTTTTAAGGAAGTCAGCATGCCCCAAAGTTGGCCTGGAGAAGGCAAGAGGGGTGGCAGGAAAGCCACCCTAAGCTGGTGGCCCCTTGTTGTCCCAAGGGCCTAGAGTTCTGAGCTAGCACAGCCTGCGAGGCGTGTGTCCTTTTGGGGTATTTGGGGGCCAATATGCTATGAAATCCTGAGAGCGCTCCTGATGAATTTCCCCTGCATATTTTAGGGAGGCCCCCGATTGGTTCATGTGTCTCCCAGGCCAGCATTCTACCCTGTGCCTCTCTGGAGACTCGTTTTCATCCTTTCCATGAAGCTCTTCATTTCCCGTTTCCTGTCCCTGGGACTGGGGGGCAGCCCATCTCCTTGTGATCTCTTTGGATCCTTCTCTTCTTTGTACTCTGGTCTCTAGTGCTGCCTGTTGCATGTAGAGATACAAGGCTGCCCTGTCCAGATGTTATCTCTGCCTGACTGCAAGTGCATGGGCAATGGTCCCATTTAATTAGGGCCAACAGGAAATGGGAAAGAGGGGGCTGGTGCAGTTTTGTAAGGTGGCTGAGTCCCTGTCCTCTTGTAGACTGTCCTCTTCCTTTGCAGTGATTCTGAAGGTCCAGGCTCCGCCCTTCATCCCATGGTCAATCAGGGCTTGTCCTTGGTTGTTTTCATAGCTGCAAGTCTTGGCTGTGGTGACCCATTCACCGTGAAGACTGCCTCTGGGTTGCTGCATGGTCTGAGTGGGACCTTTCCTCTTGGGGCTCAGTCTCTTCCCTTAGTCAGATGGTCTCACCAGATGCCTCTTCCTCTCCTGTGTGAGTCTGCTCTTCTCCACAGTTTCTTTTCCATGTGGTGTAGCATGGAACCACATGCTACATCAATGTCAGCAGAGCTCTGCTTGAGCTACCTACTCCTGGGCTGCCTGACAGAGTATGAACCCTCTCCAAGTGATGGGCAGTTGGCATCAGTTTCTTTTGGTAGTTAGGACAGCAAGGTCCTGCAAGACCAGCACTGTGTTTTCAGTGTGGCATATCCCTGGGGCTGTAGCTCTGTATCCTTCTAGCAGCCTGAACACACTGGACCAAGGCCTGTGGCAGGTGTGTCATCAGTGGGAGCCTCAGCTTGGTTTAATGGACACCACTGTTGGAGAACATGGTAAACCGCCTGCCCTTTTGTATTGATGGTTTGCCTCCTCTGTTCCAGGGTCGGGCTGGAAGTGATGGAGCAAGAGGCATGCCTGGACAGACAGGCCCCAAGGTAGGTGTGCCCACCATGCCGATGTCCAGTACTGAGGGTGTCATCGTCCCTGTCGTCATGTTGATTGTGCGATGACTGTGACTGTGGGGGAAGTGATGACTCCCTTGGCTTCGTCCCTCTGGCACATGCTGTGAGGATGGGTTGCTGGGTGAATGACATGAGTGAGAATGACAGTTCCTTAAGGGGGCCATCTGTTCTTTCCACATGGGTGGTGAAGCAGGGTGTGATTGAATCCCATTGTGAGAGCCACTTGGAAATGTCCAGGTGACCAAGCCACATACTCAAAGGTCTGGGTGACCTTAAGGTTGCCAAGTAACTCCTGAGTCCATGGGTTCAAGAGTCCTCTTGTCCAAACCGGGGATATCTGGGCTCCCAGGTATTGTAGGGTGAGTAGACATTGTCTCTTGGTGAGCACAATGGCTCACGCTGTGTATGAACAAGACCTGTACCAGTTGCTGTACCCCCAACCCACCACAGTTACTGTGTCCATCCCCCTGTTTCTGACCTTGGGTGAACTTTCTCTCCCATGCCTGGTTCATTTTCCTTCTGAGCTCCTGGGAGGGTCATTCCATGTCTAGGGGAAGTGCTAGAGGCAGTACCAGCTTTCTCCAGTGAGGAGTCCACAGTGGGAACAGCAGCTGTATTTGGAAGGGGAATGGAGCCCAAGTCATCAAGAAATGCCAGGTGTCTAGTGCACCCGTTTACTGGCATGGCTGAGCTCTGAAGTGCTTCCTATAATCCTGAGCTAATGAGATACTGCTATCCTCAGTGACCTGGGGTGACAAAAGGAGGAGAGAGGCTTATTGAATCTGTCTCAATAATTTATAGTCTTCTTTGAACAAAATTATTGAAAGCCTAAAATGTCCTACCATTGACTTTTCCCTGCCTGGCTTGAGCAACCTAGGAGATAGGATGCCATTTCAGGGCCCCAAGAGACACACAAGGAAGGTTGGCCCAATAACCAGGGTATCTGTGGGCCACAATACTAGGGTGTCCACCCGTGAGCCTGAGCCATGCAGTGGGCGGCTGCCTTCTGGGATCAGAGGCCATGGGCAGACAGGTGGGCTCTGCTCTGCTGGTCCTTCCTGCTGCTGGGAGAGATCTGGAACAAATGCTGATGGGCTAATGTCACAGAGCCACCTGAAATACTGTGTGTCTGTGGACACCACAGCCTGTGGCTCAGAGATAGTAGCCACCTCTCCCTTCTGCTGATGTTGGGGAGAAGGGGTGGGGAGAAGGCAGTGGTCACCAAGGCTGTGGGTCTAGGTTCTGTGCAAAACACAGCCCAAAGAACAGCAGTCACTGCTGTGTCCAACCGTGCAGTGGTCGTCATCTGATGCAGCTCTCTGTTGTCCATGTAGGGTGACCGTGGCTTCGATGGTCTGGCTGGGTTGCCAGGAGAGAAAGGCCACAGGGTGAGTATTGCCATGGAGGTCAGAAGGGTACTGCGCACAGAACCAGACTTTTGAGCAGTTTCGCCAGCCTCAGGTTCCTTATCTGGGGTGGGGGCCCCTCCATTCCAAAGTAGTCACCACTGGAAGCCGTGCTCTGGGTAACTGGAACCGGAATGGTCTTTTCTTGAGGGAGAGGCAGCTGAGAGGAATGGGCTTCTTGTCTGCAGCTTGCCTGGAGAGAACCTCTCAAGAGCCAAAGTGGGAGGGGATGAGTCCTTTTTTCTGGGATCCACTTTATTGCCAAAGGAGTCAGCTGCATCCTTGGGAAATCCAGAAAGCCAGAGTCCTGGCTGCCAAGGCATTGCAGCACTGAAGCAGTGGTTCTGGGAGCAGCCTCAAGGGGTCACCCCTATTAAGGAGGCCTTGAGGTCAATACTGTGTTAGGTTTCTCATCTCTGCTTTGGGGAGGATCCTATGTGACAGCTCTTTGTGATTTGCCAGATATTCTCTCCCTGACCTGTTTTCTCTAAAGCAGATTTCTTTGATGACTTTTTTCAATTTTGGCACATTTGGGACAAACACAGACATGCATGCACACACATGCACGCGCACACATTCATACACACATAGGCACACACATGCTAAACACATAGGCATGCATACCGGTGTGCATGCTTGCCAGGGAGAAGTACCTGCTGTTCTCTATGCACTGAGAAGTGGCTGCTGGGACTCACCCAAAGTGGCTGTGCCTGTGTCCTCCATTTACTGGATGAAAATGAGTGCACAGCCCCCAGGCGGTCCCTGAGTCAGCACCCATACTTTTGACTGATGTGCACATACTGAGTGCCAACTGTGAGAGGCCTGAAGGTGCAGGCTGCCCGAGGTGGACCAACCCTGATCCAAGGGGTTCTTAGTTCAGGGTGGCAGCTCTTCCCCTGCCTCATGCAGGCCATTTAGGCCAGGGTGGCCCAGATTCTGCTCAGTGTCTTGGGGTACCTGCGTGTCCATGGCCTCAGTCTGGTGACCTGGCTACCATTATGCCATCCAGATGGGACTCAGGTGCAGGGTTCTGTAGCCAGCCACCAGCCCAGCTGCTCAGCACCCTTAGCCTCTGAAGAGCCCTTCCCCAGGCCAAACCCACCTTTGGAGGACTGGACATTTTCAGAATGAGATCAGAATTAGAGAACAGGCGATCAGGGCTTGGGACACGCTGGGTGTGACCTGCTCAGAAGTGGCTAACATTGACCCTGTTGACTTCCTAGGGTGACCCTGGCCCTTCTGGCCCTCCGGGACCTCCAGGAGATGATGGAGAAAGGGTATGTTTCCCTTGGTACTGGCAGCTGCAGCGCAGGGCCAACCATGGTGGGATGAGACACCTGGCGGGGGAGGGAAGGAGGAGCCTGAGGGTGCAAGGCCGTCACCATGGGGAATTGGCTGCGGGCTTTTGAGATGAAACTGTTTGCTCCTTTACTTTATCCTTCCTGCTGAGGACAGGGCTCGGGAGTAGCCTTCAGCCATCACGGGTCTCAGAAGGGTGACTCTAACTGCGGGAGGCAGGTGCCCAGGATCCTGTGGGAGGAGACGCCGGAGGCTGAGGGAGCTCAGCCTTTGCAAGGCACTGTGTGGAGGACAGTGAGGGCTTGAGGGGTGGGGGCACGTAGGAAATAATTATCTTCAACCCTGGAGGTGGGGAGTGTGACCAGAGCCAGTAGGGAAGCCATTCTCCAAGTTTGTGGGAGGGGCTGGGGTCATTTCTCAGCTTGCACACAGAGGTCTCAGTGACCGTCACATGCAGCTTTGTGGGGGCTGGAGGCCAGGTGCCTTCTCTAGGCCACACCACACCTGTGCTGTGGCAGAGGAGACGAGTGACTGTGGATCCATGAACCACTCTGTCTGTGCACCCATCACTTTCTTTGCTTTAGGGAGGCTTAAGAAACCCTGGGAAACAGGGAGAGCATGGTCGGCATGAAGTTGCAGACAACAGTGGCCTTTCTGTTCTCAGCAGCTTTCAGACTGACCTGGTCAGGGTGCCTTCTGCTGTAAGATGAGGAAGGAGAGAGGGCTCCTTCTAGGTGCCTGTGCTTCTTGATTCAGAGAAAATGTATGTGTGTGCATTTCTGTGTGCACACATGACTTTGTGAATGTGTGCATGCATGGGGCACATGTGTGTGCACACATGGCTTGTTCACACAGTGTGTACATGCATGGGTGTGCATGCATGTGAGTGTACCATGTGTATGCACATATGCATGATAGTGAGCCTACATATATGCACTTGGATGTGTAACACGTACGTGTGCAGGAGCACATGTGTAGGCAGATTGCATGTGAGCGTGTGTACTTGCCTGTGTGGAGAAAGCAGGACAGCAGTGGTGTGCAATGAGGAGCAGGTGCTGGCCAGCAGCCCCAGGTGCAAAGCTGTGGAATCAAGGAGGCGTTCCATCTGGAGCCAGAAGGAAGAGGCTCTTTGTTTGCTGCTAGGCTGTTTAGGACTCCGGTAGAGACACTGGGTTCCCTGGGGGCTGACCAGGGGCTCCTATGCTTCTCCCCTGGTACCTTCCCTTCCCAGTTTCTGTCACTTGTGAGGGTAATCAAGCAAGGCCCAGAATGCATCTGTAGCTGGTGAGCTGAGTGAGCCTCTCAGCACCTCTCCCTTCACCCATCTGTGCATGTGCATCTCCCTGGGTGAGACATTGGCCTCTCCTGCTGGTGCAGGGACTAGTAAATTTGCATAGCTCTAGAAGCCCAGTCGGGGAACCCTGCTGTGCTGCAGAGGGAAATTGTCCCTGGGTGTTTAGCCTCACAACCTGTTCCTAAAATCCTGCTTTTTTCTGTTCCACAGGGTGATGATGGAGAAGTTGGGCCCAGGGGCCTGCCTGGGGAGCCTGTAAGTCCACCAATGGGTGGGATTCTGGGCTTGGTCAGTAGGGAGATGGGTCCATAGGGAGGCCACCTCTGGAACAGGATCTGGGATTGACTTAGAGTACAGATTAGAGAAGCCTTGAGGACATAGATAAACCCCAGCATTGCCTCAGGAAAGATAAGAGGAAGGACATGAGATGGCTGGGTGATTCCACGGAGTCCATACCAGCCTTCCCTGCAGGAGGAAGCTGGGCCCTAGAGGGTTGTGATGGGTGCCAGGGGCAGCACAGTGAATACCTATCGTGGTAGGTGTCCAGGGACAGTGTGGTGGCATTCAGGTGTCACACTGACCACCTAGGCACAGCATGATGGCAGTCCCGGAGGCACTGGATATCCAAACTACAGCCATGTTGGGTGTCCACACAGCAGCCGTGTTGTATATCTTAACTGCAGACATGTTGGGTGTCCACACAGCAGCCATGTCTAAATTGCAGCCATGGTGGTGCTGAGACATCACAGGGCCTAAATCAGCCTGTGTTTGCTCAAGTTCTGACAACTGTACTTTCCCAAAGTGAAGCCCTCTAGCACTCTGTCTCAGCCTGAGCAGGAAAAATGCTTTTCCCTCAGTGGACTTGTATTTAGGCTCAAAGCAAATTTCCTCAATGATAAAGAGGCATTAATTACTTTTCACTTACTGTGGCTCTGAAACCTCTTTTTTTGTTACCCAAGTCATGCAGCTGTTCGCATCTGGCGATGCTGAGTGGTGAGAAATACTGCAGGCGCCACGTGGGGAGCACAGGGTTGGCATGTGCAGATCCACTCGGTCTAAATTACACCCCAGGTGTCTGGTTAGCCACTGAGGAGAATCCGTCAGCACGCTCTCCTTAGCACATGTCTAGGCAGTGCCTTCTGGGTTATTAGCTTCTAAAAACCATTTATGTGACTGGGTCTTAAAATAACGAAGGAAGTCTTTAAGAGGCAATGAACCTGGAGTGTTTCTCTTCTACCAAATCTGAAAAGGTTATATCAAAATTAAGGTCTTTTAAGATCCAGGTGCCTTGGATAGAGGCTCCATTATTGGGTACATGGCCTCTTACTTCCTGGGGAGGGAGTGACAGCTTATGGTCAGAGTGGCCATCTCCAACAAAGTCTGAGGTTCCCATCAGATACCTAGTTTCTCCTGACCCTGATCCCCACACCCTTGGACTCTCTGAAGCCAGAAATAACAATGTCACATGTCATCGTGGAAGGAGGGATGATGAGTTGGACAAAAGCTCCCTGTGCCAAGGGATATAATTGCATGGTACTCTGTGGAGGAGCCTTTGTTCCCTCCTGCCCTGAGCAGGTGCCAAAAGCAGATGAGAAAGCACTCCCCCCTTCCCTGAAGGCACCCTTCCTTGCCCGTCAGAGCCCTAGCATTTCCAGGCACCCTCTGCTTCTGATTTCAGCACCAAGATGGATGGGAGGGATGGGTGAGAGGACACAGGGTGAGGGCATCTGGTCAGGCTCCCTTGGAGACCTGAGACACAGGCTAAGCTCAGGGAGGAGCTGGCTGTGGGGCATGGGTATGCAGGGATTGAGGGAGCAGGGCAGGGGATACCTGCTGAGTCTGACTTCCCGTACTCTTTCCTTTTTCAGGGGCCACGTGGTCTGCTTGGGCCAAAGGGGCCTCCGGGCCCCCCAGGACCTCCTGTAAGTTCTGTCACCTCTTGATATGTGTGTCCCCATCACTGCCCTTGAGACTCTCCTGCCCAGCCAGCGTCTCACCTAGACCTGGGGGCAGTGTATTCACGCACACCATTGTGCACATGCCTGCTGTTGTTACAAGGCGCCGTGGGTCTTTATTGTTCACACGCAAAATTGCTGGTGCGGCAGACGGGGGTTTGCAGGTGGGGGCCGATGGAGCCAACCCTAAGACTCTTCCTGCCTCCCTTCCTGGCACTCCCATTATAACTAATGCTCTAGAATGGCATGTCTCCTCATGCTTGACAGACCTTCCAGCAGCTTCGGTGAAAGTCCTGGAAGGAGGGCAGAGGCCTTTGGTTCTGGTGGAGCTCTGTTCCCATGGGATGGACTGTCTCCCACCCTCCTCAGCACCTCTGACTGCCTTTCTAGAACTCAGGGCCTGCCCATAGGGTTCTGGGGCCTGGCAGTTTGGCTATCCCTAGGCTGAAGAATTCGGGGTGCCCATCAGGGGACTCTCTAAGGAAGGGACGTGGGTCAAGGCTTTCCCCTCCCCAGAGCATCCTTGCAGGCATCTGTGGTGTGTCGGGTGGGTTTTGAACATCCATCAGTCGTTCATCTGCTTTCTGTGTGTATCTTTTTAAATTTGCAGGGTGTAACGGGTATGGATGGTCAGCCAGGTCCAAAAGGAAATGTGGTGAGTTCAGGGATCCCGAGGCCTGGCTCCATTGTGATGACTCACGAGTGCACTCCATGCCTGGCTGGGGAGGTCCATCACTGTCCATGTCAGCTGGGAATGGGGGGGCACAAAGTGCACATCGGAGGCCTCGCTGCAGCCAGGTGCTGCCCTTGGTACAGGTGCAGAGTATTGGTACTTGAGGCCAAGAGTCGGTATTTTTCACCCACACCTGCTCAGTCAGGAGGCTGCTTGCTTCTTGTGCCCAAGGAGTTGCCATAAATGTCCACCAGGAGTTAAGTCCATGGGCACTGCGTCTGCTTCAAGAGCACTGGGGGGTTCAGCAAGAAATCCACGGTGGGGGATTTTCTACCGAATGAAGTATTTCCTGGCAGCTCCTTTCACACACTACTGCCTGGGTGGGTGTGGGGGATGTTCTCTCAATGTCTTGGCCCTCCAGCCCCCATTCCTGTCCCTGCTCTCCGACAGGACACCTGTCATTTCCTTCCAGGCTGTTCCTGCATGTTGCCTCTGGTGCAGCCATGATGGAAAAGAGAGGAGGCCATGATGAAGGGGGAACAAGACCCCTAGGGCAGGGGTCATAGCACCCAGAGCCCCTTTCAGGGTCTTTGCTTTTGTTTCCTGTAGGGTCCCCAGGGAGAGCCCGGCCCCCCAGGACAGCAAGGAAATCCTGGTGCCCAGGTAAGTGGCCTGGGGAGGCTGCCCAGGGGTACAGGCCTGAGAGGTATGGGTGTCCAGTCCAGTGCTCTGAGCTCTTCCCCTTCAAAGTCACTGCCCCCACTCTGCATCAAGGGGACAGGACCTGGGGTGGCATCTGGACCTTGAAGCTGGTCTGCAGGATGATGGTAGATGGTAGGAGGGACTCAGGGTCAGTCTCCTCACCTTTCCTTTGGCTCTTCCCTCCAGGGTCTGCCAGGCCCCCAGGGTGCCATTGGTCCTCCAGGAGAAAAGGTAGGTGTGCCTGAGCTGTGTGTGTGAGTGGACACCACTGCCTGCAGGCTGCCTTTCCTGTCCCTTGTGCTCCCAGGACCCTGAAGCTGAGATCACTCAGAATTGAACGTGCCAGCTATGAGAGAGCTCCTGGGTCTTTGTCGGTCTCTCATTCACAAATTCACTTGCTCATTCAAGTCACTCATTCATTCGTTCAATCTCTAGCTATGTACATAGGTGCTGGATTTAGCAAGGAAAACATGTAGAGGACTCCCGGTTAAATCTGAACTACGTGTTGTTTATCTGAAATTCACGTTTATCTGGCATATGGTTTTGTTGCTCTTTAGTTTGGTTTTGCTAAATTTGGCAACTGTAAATACACCTCCAGCACCTCCCGTGTCCTTGGTGGGGGCAGTGTGAAGCGTTAGCCCTGCTGCAGCTCGTGCCTTTGTCTAGGCACTGGGTATCTTGGGTAACACAAAGCGCATTGGTCAGGACCAGCAGAAGTGCCACTAAGGGCTTAAGGGCTCAGAATTCACCTGTTAAAACACAGGTGGCCAGGCTGCGGTTGGACCTGTACCATCTGAGAGTATGGTGGTATGGGGGAGTGTTCATCCATGGACACTGTGGCTACTTTGCCAGGCCCCTCAGGAGGGATGCATGGACGCCCCATGGGTATGCCATAGAGAAACAAAGAAGACAGTGCTAAGGGGTGCTGAGGGCTTGGTAAGGCCCCTGAGGAATTGGCACCTGCACAGGGGATGTCGGGAGAACAGATGGGATGCTCTCGATTGGGCTCGTTCCCATCGCAAAGCTGAAAGCTCTGGTGAGGGGCCTGCTCTCTAGCATGGCTGGTGACTGGACACTTCATAGCCAGTGGGAGCAGAGGACCCCCTGTGTATTTCCCCACACGGGTGGACTCGGGGCAGAAATGTTGGATAGTAACCTTGGGGTGCATAGAGCGGTCAGGGGAACCTAGGGAAGGTATGAACCTCAGGGCGCTCCCTCATGGACTCTCTGCTTTGTACTAGGGTCCTTTGGGTAAACCAGGCCTCCCAGGAATGCCTGGTGCTGACGGACCCCCGGTGAGTAGTCCTCCCCACGCCCCTCTGACCAGTGCGGAGCTGGGAACTTGGGCTTTTAGGACATCCTTGCTCTTTGCTCTCTTTCCACTCTGGCAGTGAAGACTCACGTGGCCTGGAGCATGGGTCAGGCTTTTCATAGCATGTTCCCATCAAAGAGGGGTGACTGCATGATAGGAACGACCTCAGTGTTCGGCCTCGAGCTGGGAAAGGTAACGAGGCTTGGGCTGGCTCTGAGTCACCACGCATCTCACCCACGCTGGAAGCAGTGGGCATGGCGCCATGTGTATTTTCGGTGCTCACGCGCTGAGTGGGGAGGGTGTTGCACAAGTGCATTGGTGACGTGTGAATGCACAGCCGTGGGGCCAGATTAGATCCTGCCTGGAAATAGCAAGTTAGTGACAGCTGTGAGAAAAGGGAGGCGTGGGGAGGAGGAACTGCTCAGGTGTGTGCACACACCCCTGTCGTGTGTCCACACCTACTGCTCTGGATGTACCCTGTACCTGGTTTGGTTTATTTTATTTTGTTGAAGAGTATTTGATTGATATTGAAAGAGTCTATTTCAGAAAGCAAGATAAGCTAAGTTAATTATTTAAGATAGCATATTTTATTGTTCCGATAACACCATTACAAACTAAACAAGAAAGTGAGATGTGTTGGAAGATGGTTGTGACTGTTTACCCTACAGCTGTCGACTTTATTCGACAGGATAAAGGATGAGGATCGTTCAGTACTGTGAATCCCAAATCACCCTTTCTTGATTGAGCAAACAGGTCGTGATCACTGGCCTGTCCGTGTGGATGGCATTGGAGACGGCAGGGCCCGGCCACCAAGTGATTAATCTTTACCAGCATGACACCTCTGTCCTTTAATTTACATTTATATTGAATTGCATTTTCTAATGATGCAAATAACACATTTGCTCATAGACAATTAGGAAGTAAGTAAATGACAAGATGGAAAGCACCTAGTGTTGTCCCTGTGGTTGCCCACAAGTGGAAACCCATGCTTCCCTTCTGCAGTAGGAGATCCGTTCAGTGTCCACTGCAGTATGTCACACAGACAGCCAGGCTGTGGCCCTGCAGGAGGCGACCACTGGGCATGGGTGGGCTGCACCCCTTCCCCAACTGGATGTCTGTCTCTGGCCTGGTTCTGCCCTGGAATCCCCCTCCCCACATTGAGACCCCCAGAGTCCCTGACAGCCGGGCTCCTGTCATGTCCTGTGGGTAGAGAGGGGCCAATGGAGCCAACCGGCTGCTCCTAGACTCACTGCCTCTCTTCCCGCCCGACACTGGGGCTTTAAAACATGCACTGAGTGGTGGATGTGCCTGCAGGTGTCATCACACTCACCCTAAGGGGCCAGAAGCAGCAGGTGGGCAGGAAAAATGCAGGCATCAGGGCCACGAAACACACTCCCACACTGGGCTGCCTATGCAGGCCAAGGAGGTCGCATGTCACAGATGGACCTCAAAGGGAGGTTGGTTTATTGTTGTTTTTCTCTGGTGTTGACTTGGTTTGGTTGTAAAGAAAGCAAGATTTAAAAGGGTGAAGAAGTAGGAAGAATTTCAAGGTAGACTCCATGTTAAGAGTGCACAGTGGGGAGACGATAAATGAATTACCGGCCAGCGGAATATTACAGAGCCAGTAAAAATTGAATTTCAGCAGACACTCAGTGACGTGAGAAAATGCTCGCGACATAATATTAAGTTTAAAATATCCTATGTCCTGCCTTCTTTGCATGCGTGTGTGCGTGTGGAGAAAATGGGCCGCAGCGCTCTGCTACACAATTAGCTGAGCTGCTCTGAGTGGGGAGGCCAGGAAGGAGTTTAATTTCCTCTTCCACTGGCCTAATTGTCTACGGTGATCATAGGTTACTTTTTTAATCAGAAAAACGCCAAATACAAATAATTTGAGCTTTATTATTTTCCCGTTATGAAAGTCAAGCTCATTACAGAGTATTGAAGAGAGACGTGTGGCCTGGTCCCTCAGGGCAGAGCACAAAAGCCCTGTCCCCTCTCGCCTTGGCCTTTCTCTGTGCCAGTGTGGCATCACCTCCACCATGGTTTACTCCTCTGTGAATACAACTTCAAAGCCGTCAAAGGATTGGGCCTTAGTGTGACTAACGGTCACAGGCATGGTGCCCGCCAGCTTCCATTGGCCACTTTCAGCTGGCACTCACCCGAGCACCCTCCCTACAGTCTCCTCTGCCCCTCTGTGCTGCAGGTAGTGGAGGAAGTCCCACGTGGACAGGTCAGCTGGCTTCCCCAGTGACAGGGTGTGGGGACTGCCCCCTTCCGCCACCTGGAGCCTGGCACGGGTCATCCACCCCAGTTCCTTAACAAAACACCGGGAGAACCATCCCGGCCACCTGGGCAGGATGCTCCATCCTGCACTGTTTGGTTCAGCCCTGCCACCATGAGCCACTGGGGCCGTGAGCATAAATGTCATTTTTGGAAGGCAGGGAGCAGCTCAGTGTGTGTCCCTGCAGCCTAAGAAATAGGCACTGTCCACCCACTGGTGCCCACCTTCCTCAAAGGTCTCATGCTGCCCTCCACAGCTTCTACACAGGAACTTTGTACTCTGGGCGCATTTGCGATGACAACAGGCTGTTTGCAAGGGTGTGACTCCAGTTGTACAACTAATAAAAATAAGAAAACACGAAGTGTTTCTTGAAGAGATGAGCCCCAGGTCTCCATGGTGCAGCCATGTCTAGAAATAAAGCCCCAGGTCTTCAGAGCACTCACCCCGCCCCCTCACTGAACACATGAGGAAGTGCAGGCCCAGAGAGGGCAAGTGCCCTGCCCTAGGCCACACTGCAGGTCAGGTGTGTGCAGAGGTGCAATCAGACCTGCCTGCCAGCCTCCTCACCCCTTGTTGGCCTTTTTTTTTTTTTTAAACTGGGGACTTATTGGTCAGCCTGCATTTCTATGTAGTGAGCTTTTGTTGTCTACATTTGGCTCACTGGTTATGAACACAGGGCTTTAATCCTGGATCAGAGAGAATTGAATTTCTGAGAATGGAATTGGTCCAGACCCAGGTAGCAGGGAGGTGACAAGGATACAGGCATTTCCAAGACAGGCCCTCACCTTCACCCAGCCTGCAGGCCCAGGGAGCTTCTGCATGAAGATGGGTCACAGGAACACTCAGTCAGGTGACAGGACAGCCCTCCCCCTCCCACCCTCCTGCCCTGGTCCCCCAGTCAGATGCCACGTTTGCAGATGCTGTGCTCCCTGCTTCCTTGCTGGTCCCCTAGGCTCCATGCCTGAGTCTGGTCCCGGTTCATTATCCCAGAGGTTCATTTGACCAGAGGACCCTGAGCAAAGCCTTGGTTGTCCCTGTCCCCATGTCTGTGGTCTGTGAAATCTCTCTGGAGGTGTGCTGGGTTCTGAGCGGGTGGGCAGTCACCGGGGCAAGCTAATTCTTGCCCTCATGGCTGTGATGCACACGCCCTCCATGGTCTGCTCTGATTGCTGCTGGGGCCTGGTTAGGGCCAGGACTTCCTGTTCCCATTTTGCAAATGAGGCAGCTGAGGTTTGGAGCCTGGGAGTGACCGAGCTGTACTGGGCTGCCGGTCCGGCTGTCCTTGACTTCTGTTTTCCTGGGGAGGGAGGGGCTGTGGGACAGTAGCTGTGACTACTATCTTTCATGAATGCTGTAGAGGGAGGGGCCGCTTTCTGAGGTGATGGCTGACTAATGAAGTCCTTCTCTTTTTTGACAGGGTCATCCTGGCAAAGAAGGCCCTCCAGGAGAGAAAGGAGGCCAGGTGAGGACTCAACCACACCCTGTCCCCAGTCGCTGCACAGGTCTCCTGGACTGGGTGGAGAGAGGTGCCTTGCTGTGTGGGCTCTGGATGGTCACTCGCAAGCCGCTTTGACTACAGAACGATGTTACCTCGTGATAGGTCCTTGTCCCGTCCCCTCCCCTCCAGAGCAGACCTCCTGCTTTGTCCCAGGCTGGGTGTAAACTTCTTTAATGGCAGCTCCATCCTTCTAGAATGCCCCTGCCCCAACCCACTCCTCAATTTCTGGCCTACCAGAGCAGGACTTAGTGGTCCAATTGGCCTCAGGGGTCCTGGCTTGTCACAAAGCACAAACTGCTGCTTTTATCATTTTAGGTCATGTGCAGGAGTCTCCCATGGATCCTCTAGTCAGACCTGCCCCAGCACCCCCTAAATGGTTAATGGTCTTTCCCTTTGATTTTAGGGTCCTCCTGGCCCCCAGGGTCCCATTGGCTACCCAGGCCCTCGAGGAGTCAAGGTGAGATGGAGTCGTGCAGCTTGGGGTCTTCCTAAGATCTGGGTGGGATGGAGGGCATAGCTTGTCTGGTTCTGGTGAATTCCTCTATGGTTAAAACCTCTCTCCAGCACCCTGGGGTGGCCTGGTCTTCCCAGTCAGGTATATAGACACTGGGTCCCTGGACACTGAACCTAGCAAGTGAGGATGTAGCCCAATGGCACCAGGAAGGGCTGATTCAGAGGAGGGGCCTGTGATGAGCAGGTGGCCCAGCACTGTCCGTCTGTCAGAATGGGGGGCCTGTGTCCACCTGCATTTCCTTTAGCGTTACAGTTTGTCAGGGCCAGGCTGCTCTCCCATGCCTCTTGTGGGCAGCAGACCTCGGGGAGGCAGAGAGCTTGGCCTCCTGTCTGGGGAAGCCGTTTGCACATTGGAAGAGCGAGAACGGGAGTCTGTCCCCTCCGACAGCGTCTGGACAGAGCAGAGCTGTTGAGAGGCAGAGTCCCAGGGTGTCATCTGTTTGTTTGCAATCGTGTTTCTGCCAGCGAGAATGCCACAACCTTGTTAAGAGGGGCAACGAGCTCCAGAGCAATATCCACAGCACGTCCCTGCTGTCTCACCAGCTCTAACTGGGTTTGCTTCTGGCTTCGTGATTTAATCTCAGCCTCGAAGCTCCCTGGGGGCAGCACATTCAGATGTAGAGGATGTGTGCACAGGCCCCTCTTTCTCCAGGAACAGGCAGGTTGCAGCCTCTCAGAGCTCCAGGCTTCCCATCAGCCAAATCTAGTGTTTTTGTGGAACTGGGTTTGACCTTAGGACCTTGTGCTAGCTAGCATGCGCTCTGCCACTTGAGCCACACACACCCCCACCCTATTTTTTTTTTTTTTTTTGCTTTGGTTATTTTGGGATAGGGTCTCATGTTTTTGCCCAGGCTGGCCTGGATCTTGATCCTCCTACTTCTGCCTCCTGAGTAGCTGGGATGCCAGGTGCATACCACCACTCCCAGTTTTTTTTTGTTGTTGTTGCTGAGATAGGGTTTCACTTACTTTTTTGCTCACAGTGGCCTTGAACTGCAATTCTCCTGATCTCTACCTTCTGAGTAGCTGGGATTATAAATTTGAGCCACTGCACCCAGCTTCTGGTGATGAGTCTTTTCTTCAAAATGATTTTAACTTAATGTGAAGGGATGTACATACGTGCTCATGACACACTCACACACACTCACACCCACACACCTGCACACACACACACACACACACTCACACACACACACAACTCGCTTAGCTTGAGGAAGTCATATGGACCCGGCTTAGCTCTCTGTCATTATCCACATGCTTTGTGGAGCTCAGTCCCTGTCCTGTCCACTATTGTGCACACAGTGTGCAGCTGCCCTGGAGTGTGGAGGATCAAGAACCCAAGACACCATTGTTAATGACTTACCCCAAATTACTCTGAACTCTGGAGATACCCTGGTCAGGACTAATCCAGTGCCTAATCCAGGGTCCTAATCCAGTGCCCCATCCTTGTCTATGAGTGGCCCTGACTTCTATGTCCCAAGAATCAGGATGTCCCAAGTTCAAAAGCCACCAAGGAGTGACCACCAAGGGTTTGGAAGCCTTAGATAGGTCGGGTTCCTCTCAGAAGCTTTTCCCAGCAAAATGCCATCTGTTTTCTAAGGCGATGAGTTAGCAGTGCTGACTTCATGGACTCTGTGCGTGTTTATCTTAGAAATTCCTGTCGCCTGCAGGAGCCTTTGGCAGCTCCTATGCATGGTTAATGGCATGAGGCTGCTTCTGCGAGCTACAAGGTGTTTGCTTTAAAATGTTTATGAAGATTGCTCTTATCTGTCTATCTGATTAAAATTCATTCATGACATGAGCAATCCGGTTAGACTTGGAAGCAGAGGGTGGAAGGAAAACTGGCGTTCAAAACAGTTTCATTGGGGAAATACACTGTCATCTTCCCGTGCGTTTGAGAACCTTGGTGGCTCGGGCCACAAGGATGTGATGGCTGTGTGGGTGGAAGGCATGCTGAGCTGCAGCCATTAGGGATGGGTAGGCCTTGGTCAGGAAGGTCTGGTTATTTTCCACCAAAGCCCTGCCTTCTTCCTGGAAAGGGTTCTGCCTTAGTTTATCAGATTGCTGTGACAGAGATTCCATAAACCAGGGTCTTATAAACAACAGGAATGCATTTCTTACTACAGTTCAAGAGACTAGGAAGTCCAAGGTCAAGGCACCAGCAAGGGTGGTGTCTGGTGACAGCTGCCCTGTCTGCATGGATGGAGCCTTCTCATCGTGTCCTCCCATGGGAGGCAGGGTGCACAGGCCTCCTCAGGCCCTTTCATAGGACACTACTGCGCTCTCTTTCTTAGGGGCTTCTGGCCTGGACCTTTTGGAAGGATTGCTAGGAAAAAGAGAGGCTTAGAAACCACTAAAGCAGTGGCAGCTGGCTGGACTGGGTACTTCTCATCTTCCTGGATTCTTTGGGCCCACACTTTTTTTGCAGCACTGGGGTTTGAACTCAGGGCTTGCTTGTGAGGCAGGTTCTGTGCTGCTTGAGCCACACCTCTAGTCCTTTTGCTCTGGTTATTTTAGAGATAGGGCCTTGCTTTTTGCCCAGGGTGGGCTAGACTGTGGTCCCATGTTTTAGGCTCTCCACTGTAGCTGGGATGACAGGCATGCACCATCACACCCAGCCTTATCTATGGAGATGAAGGTCTTGCGAATTTTTTTTGCTGAACTGGCCTGGAACCACCATCCTCCAGATCTCAGCCTTTCAGGTAGCTTGGGATGACAGGCGTGTGCCACTGCACCCAGCTGTTGGTTGAGATGGTGTCTCACTAACTTTTTGTCCAAGCTGGCCTCAAACCTCATTTCTCCTTATGTCAGCCTCCCAAGTAGGTAGGATTACAGGTGTGGGCCACCAGTGCTTGGCTCCCACAGATGTTTTTAAGAACCTCTGTGTGCCAGGTGGTCGAGGTGTGTGCAGCAAGCTGCCCCTCTGGCTTCCTAAGAGTCAGTGTGGACATGTGTACACTGGGTACTTCCCTGTCTGCATCATGTGCCTATCCATTTTGAGTTCAGTGATTGTCTTTGGCTCAGGTGTGAGTAAGCATGGCACAGGCTCTTTGGAGCCAGCTCCCCACCCCCTGTCCCGTGCTACGTGCGGCTGCCTCTGAGAACCAGGGGCTGCCGTCCTGATGCACGGGGCTCCTGCAGAGTCAACTCATATTCGTTTAGCCAGTGTTAGGCTCAATGAACAGTGAAGGAGAGCTCACCCAACCTGCTGCTGCCAGCTTCCTCCAGCTGTGGCCCTCCACTCCTGTGCTGTGTGCCGAGGCTGTCATCCAGGGGGAGCTGAGCAGGCTGATTGTCAACATGGGCCTGTCTCCAGGTGCTTTACACCCTCCCTCCTGTGGTCAGGATCTCAGGGTAACCATGACTCTGTCCGTGTAGCCACCAGCACCTCACAGCATGGTGATGGAACAAAAGTACTTCCAGAGCCATATTCCCCATCCCTCCATAGCATCCCAAAACGAGCCCTGGCTGCAGTCTGTGTGCCTCCCTCCCTCCCTCTACAGCTCTTCCCATACCCTTCCCTCCCCAGCCCTAGGGAAACATAGCTGTGAAATCTGTGGAAAGTTCTGACCACCAGAGGATAGCTGGCAGCTCCTGGGTCCTCTGAGGATGCGGCTTAAGTCCTGGCTGCACTCTCAGCCAGGAAGAAATAGGGAGGCCTGGCCCCTCTGGGGTCCCCGGGCAGGTGGCCTGAGGTGGCCTTTGAAGTCAGCAGTAAGTCTTTGTAGGTAAAAGTTGAACTGCTCTGAAGCCTGAGGCTGAGAGGTCTTGCCAGAGAGGGCTGTGTCACACCCTTCCTCAATGTTCATCTCCACCAGCTGAGGCCCTGGGCCCAGTCCTTGCCCTTCGCAGGTGTTTAGCAGGGAGAGTAGATGGTCTGTCCGAGGCTGGTCCAACCTCAGTCATTATTATACCATTAATGGAGGCTATAACATATCACGCACTGATGGTAACACAGAATTTAGGTCATCTGTGGTGCAAAACTGCCATTTTCTGGGCACCTGGTAGGTGCTGGGCACTGTATTGACGTTCCCTTCGAGAGGCAGGAATGAGGTCATCCCAGATAAGGAAACTGAGGCATGCAAAAGTCTGGGACATTGTTGGAGCCACAGGGCAGGTCCAGGATCTGAACCCATCTGCCTGCACCAGAGCCATGTCCTAGCTCCTTCCCAAAGCTCCAAGGGATGGTTGTTTCTAGAAGAGGCAGATGTTAGCATAGGAAGGCATCAGCACTGGGCTTAGGCCCTTGTCGGATTAGATCCAGAGCTTGAGGTAAAGGGCCAGGGCCGGTTTGATCTTCTGCGTAGAATTGAGGAATCCAGGCTACTGCAGAAACTGGGAACAAGCTGGGTGTCACATGGGCCATGGGAAGTTGGTGCGAGGTCAGGAGGGACTTCCCAAGGCCTGCGAGGGCCCCACCTTCCTGCGCCCTTGGAGCGGAATGGCCCTTGCAGGGCTCAGTGTTGTGGTTGTGATTCTCTTTTCTCTTTCCTGCCTGCACAGGGAGCAGATGGTATCCGAGGGCTGAAGGGCACCAAGGGTGAGAAGGTGAGTTCCCACCCCCCCTCTAGCAGGGGCCTGCTTCAGCAGGACACAGTGCTTCAGCAGAACCAGCTGAGGAAGGGGTCACCTCTGGACAGAAGGAATGGATGCTACTCTGTGGGAAACATGTTTGTTTGCAAACGAGAAGCCAGGTGTTGAGGAGGGCAGGTCCTCGAGTACCGTGGGGTGTGCCCTGGCAGGGCCAATGCCTCTGCCCAAGAAGACTGAGGTCCAGATGCTCCACGCAGCCCTCACTGGCCTGCAGGCGCACACTGTCCCCGACACTCCTCCCGGTGGGCTCCTCTCAGGGAGCAGCTGGAGTGTCCATTAGTTGTTAGTTGCTGATGTTCTTCCCTGGCAGCCCCACACCTGCAGATGTCATACTGCCATGCAGAATTGGGCCCAGAAAGAGAGGGGCTGGCTCGTGGTCCACACTCGGAGGGCACTGCCAGGACCTGGGCTTTGCCACACAGGGAGGCTCAGCTCTGGGATGCCCACGTTAGTTAGCATGTGACCACAGCTCAGAGCATGGTGCTATGTGGCATGGTCGGAGAGCAAACCGGGCCTCTGTGGTCATGCTGGTTAATGTGAAGCTAAAATGTGCCGTCCAGAGTTAGAACACTCCACACTTCCAGCAGTGTGTCCCGATGTCCTGAGCTACATAGGACAGTGTGGCCGCCTCTTGGCAACTTGCTCAAGCCAACTGTGCAGTACATTCACATTCAACGTAGGCTTAGCTGACCACCAGAGCTCCAGCCCTCCAGCTGCAGGGCCCAGAGCCCACCTAGCCTCGGCTAACGGGTACAGGTGTCACAAGCACAGGCACTCACGACCCACCCTGTCCAGAGCCCCTTCTGCATCCTTGAAGGTGGATTCTCTGTGCCGAGTGCAGTCTGTCCCAGGGAGGGGGAAGCAGATACCACAAATGGAGGTGCATTCTGTTCTCTAGACTGAGAAATTCTCTTGTCCCACATGCAGGGTGAAGACGGCTTCCCAGGGTTTAAAGGCGACATGGGCATCAAGGGTGATCGGGTGAGTGCTGCAGGCTGAGGATAGGCAGGGTGGGTTGGGGGCCCTGCCGAAGATCTGGGAGAGTCTCCAACCATGAAGCAGCTTCTCAACATAGAGGAAGACCTCTGCCGGGGCCCAGGCTGGTCACCTGCACAGCCACACTCTGCTGAGGGTCCCTGTTGAGCTCCTAAGCCATCTCTGACCCCACAGAGCTCTTGAGTTCCTCTTAGACCCCACACAGCCCCAGTGTTCTGCAGTCTGGGGAGAAACTCCAGCATTGTGGGTGGCTTCTGATGAATAATTTGTGTCACCTCAGGAGAAAGTCACTGATGCTGGAGCAGGTAGGACTCACTCAGGTGGCAGGTGCCCAAAAGAATGCCACAGGCTGGGTTGTATTATCATACAAATTTGGAGAAGGTACTAGGGCTGTTTAAATGGTGGTGGTTCTTAGAGTGGCTTGGCAGTCTGTTGCCAAGGTGGAGTTTCCCCCCATACCAGCAGAACCAGCAGGAATGCACTGCCTCACACAGCGGGTGACACAGCCAGGCAGCAGCTGGACATACACCTGGATGTCAACTGTTGACTGTGACCACTGCTGTAATTACCCCCTCAAAGAGGGGCCCAAAGGCACCTTTTGGAATGTGCCAGAGTGAGAGAGCCCATACACTTGGCACTGCCCCAGCCTGTCAGGCAAATGGCAGGAGCGATCTGCACATCTGTCAGAGGAGGAGAATAAAAGAGGAACTCACTGCAATTGTGACATTACTGCAGAAGACTGCCCTGCTCCAGAGCTGGTCTCTGAGCAGAGGGTCCCAAACACCCACAGCAGAGGGGCTACTCTCAGTTCAATGTTGGAAGCTCCTTTTCACTTCCTCTTTGATAACTGAGCACACATTTGGAGTTCACAGGACCAGGGCATGGCTTCAGAAGAGATTGCACAAACCAAGCATGGTGGAGCACACCTGTGATCCCAGCACTAGGGAGGCAGGGGCAGGAGGATCTCAAATTCCAGGACAGTCTGGTCTATATAGTGAGACCCTGTCTCAACAAAAAAAAAAAAAGAAAAAGAAAAAAATGAGAAAGATACCACACAAAAAAATGCCCCCTGGGCAGGGAGCCCTTGGTACAACTGGATGAGGGGGAGATGGAGGAGCGGGTGCTGTGGTTCTCCCCATCCTTGGTGCTCCATAGGTGTACCTGATGGTTATTGGTTGAACAAGAACATTTCTTAGAGACAGAGTTCCCAACCCCCACACAGACTGGAGCTCAAAATTTAGGAAGGTGCATGGCTTATCTCTATCAGTGTGGTGTGCATTTCTGTTGTGGGATCTCCCAGACGTCCTGAGGCTGCTCTTGGAAGCAGATGGTCAGAGGAGCACTTGTCCACAGATGGCAAAGAGCACCAGGATGGCTGTCCCGAGCCAACCATGGTGTTGCCGTGACTGGGGGCAGGCCTCTGGGTCCCTCCTTATGTGGGCCCAGGCCTCCCCCGCTGCAACCTAGGGATACTGAATGTATTAGGCCTTAGCCCCTCTGTCTCTGACGTGTGTTCTGGGACCCCCTGTGTGCGAGTTGTGCCTGGGTAGCTGTCCAACCAGTGCCTGCCGGAGTTCAGAGGAAGGCAGCTCACAAGGCAACCTGCTGAATTTGGCCAAGTGGTAATTCAGAGCCACTCTTTACCAGGTATCTTAGCCAAGAGGCACTTGACTAGACAAGGAAATTGGGAAGCAGAGCCGGCAGCCCAAGGACTTAGCGGCACGCTGGCTACTTGAAGAGGGACAAGGGGCACCCTGGGACTTGCCGCCCAAGGGGCTCCTTTCTGCAGAGACCCTGGGAGCAGCTCCTGGGCTCCAGTGAGGTCGGGCAGCCAAGTGGCAACCACCACAAGAAGCCTGCCGTTGGGTGTGGAGACTGCTGGGGCCTCCCTCACCTCCTCTTTTCTGATTGCAGGGGGAGATTGGCCCTCCTGGTCCCCGGGGTGAAGATGGCCCTGAAGGTCCGAAGGGTCGTGGAGGTCCCAATGGTGATCCTGGTCCTCTGGGGCCCACTGGGGAGAAGGTTTGTGATACAGGATGTCTCACAGTGTCCCTGGGGGTATCTGAGCTCTGTGCAGGCTCCAGCCAGGCCCTCCCTGGCCTCAGGCACCCAGGCTCTTAGCAGAGCCTGTCCTAGGCATGGGTGGCATTCCTGAGTGGACCCTCCCCTCCCACCGGGTATGTGCAGCCACCAACTAGTCCCAGTCCTGGCCCAAATTGCCCTTCTGAGCTTACTGCCACACCTGGGAGGAGCCTCTTCCTTCAGGTGTCTGCAAAGCTTTGAGACCTGAGGCCCACGTGAGCACTCCGTCTGTCCTTGTCAAGTTCTGACTCCACGCTGGGGGTTACAGCAGTGTCCCCTTTGCACCCTGAATGTACAGCTTATGAGAAGGGGACTCTGCAAAGGCAGCCAGACCTTGCCTGCTCTGTCCAGCTGCCAAGGAGGCCCCACACCAGCATCGAACCCTCACACCGTCTTACCCCTCTAGCCTGGCAGGAGGGCCGTGAGTCATGCCTACATATCCCGCCCCATCTCAACCTCGGTAGAACCTTTGCAGGAGGTTAAGAGACACCCGCAGATCAGAATGTCCTCATCCAGGGCGTTTGCCTGTGGCAGCTCTACACCAGCCTCAGCTCCCATCTCTTCTCACGGGCCCTTTGCTTTCCCTTCAGCGTGGGAATGGCCAGGCTTGTCTTCCCTCATGAGTCCCAGAGCACAAAGCAGGGAGCTCTCTGAGGTGACCGTGCCCTTCACTTTTAGAATCTGCCTCCTGCTCCCCTCTCTCCCAGGACGCGCTGACTTTCTCTCTGCTCAGAGAATGCAGTCATGCAAGGTCAGGCTTATCCTCAATGTCCTTTCTTTTTGTTCCAGGGAAAGCTTGGAGTCCCAGGATTACCGGGATACCCGGGAAGACAGGGGCCGAAGGTAATTCAACCCACGCTGGGTGTCCCGGTAGACACTTTAGGATTCTCTGTGGTGCCCTCGGCGCCTTCATCTATCCTCCATCCCTGGGTGGCATGTGACATAGCAAGTGGAGTGACAGGTTCTCTGTGGCTTCATGTTCTTTATTCACAGCCGTTTGTGTTAATTTGGCCAAGTTCAAAGGAGACACTTTGGCAGTGAGCTGAGCCTGTTAGAGAAGGGGCTGAAACCTACTCCAGCTGGTGCCTTGTGGCCTGCTGGTAGCCTCCGTCCACTGGCTTGTCCACATGCAGAACACTTGGAACAGTCTCCTCACAGCCCTGCTTCTCTTTAGAGGCACGGGGGTTCATTCATAACAGGTGGAAGAAAGAGACAAAGTCTTTCTCATGAGCAGTCATGTTCTGACTTAAGTGAAATGGCTCCTGAAGGCTTTGGAAATCACAGAGAACATTATTTTTTCCACATCTCACATTTTCTTATTCGTGGTTCTTCCTTAAACAATAACTGCCTGCTCACTGGAGACTTATTAGCAGCAGGCAATCCTACCTTCCTCAGATTTGCATCTCCGCCATTTCTGCCACCTGCTAGCTTCAGCGCTTTTTGAGTCTCATGATTCCGAGGCCTGTTGACACAGGAGAGTGGGCCAGCTGGGCAAACTGCCTCTCACCAGAATCACCCCACTGTTAGACACACCAGCCTGCAGGAGAGGCGGCTGGCCTCTTGCTTAGTGTCTGGCAAGGGTGTGCAGAATGTGACTGCCATCTACCCGAGTGCTGGGGGAAAGGAGCAAATGGACACGTTTTCTTTTAAACACTTGTTCCTCAGGGAAGAGAAGAAAGAAGAGGGGATGTTTGGGAGAGGAGAGGGTGGGGTATGACTCAAGTACAGAGAGCTTTAGGGGAGGAGAAGATAGGACTCTATGCATTCGCCCTGGGGGGCTGAGACTAGAAATAGTGATTTGGGTGTCACATATGGTGACTCACTTCTGAGCTGGGCTCTGAGTCACCTGCACTTCAGGTCTCCTCAGTTCAGTCTTCCACCTGGATGGGCATAGGTATAGGAGCTCAGCTCCCCATGCCCCCTGGAAGTACAGGTCTGGACACGTGTGTGTAAGCTCTTCCTGGAATCCGTGTGCACTCTGGTCAGGATGTTGTGGATCCTAGAGAGAAGAGATGAGGAAGCAAAGCACCAGCACCAGGGGGCAGTGGAAGCCCTGAGAAGCATCTCAGGGAGTCTTAGTGGGTGTTTGGGTATTTACCAGATCACAGTCCTTAAGTCTATCTTTTGCTCGTGTACACCTTTTAGCCTTGTAGAATTAAGCAGCTGTTGGATGCTATAGTCCGTGCATAAATTTGCATTCATTTCTGACTTTGCAAGCTGTCACACTTTAGCTAGGGGCATTGTGGGATGATCACAAAGTATGGCAACTGGCCCATGTCAGAGAAGTGAGATACAAACCTTGTCCCCAGGGGGTCTTAGGTAGCTGTCCCCTGTTCTCCCAAAATACCAGCCAGTGGTTCACAGTCTTGGGCATGTGGAATGAAGGGGGTAAGAGTGAAGCATGTTAAGACTCAGTTTGGGTTTTTAGATTTGGAACCTGGGAAATATTTATTGAGTCAACAAGTGGATGGGTGTCCAGTGGGTGGATGGGCGTTGAGTGGATGGATGGGCGTTGAGTGGATGGATGGGCGTTGAGTGGATGGATGGGTGTTGAGTGGGTGGATGGGTGTTGAGTGGGTGGATAGGTGGCTAGGTAGATGAGTAGATGAATGGAAAAACAGCATAGTGGGTGGATGTGTGGGTGTTAGGATGGATGGATATTACATAAGTGAGTGGGTGGGTAGAGAGGTAGATGAATAGGGTAAGGTGGATAGATGGATGGTTAGGTGGATAGGTATTGCATGGGTGGGTGGATGGATAGCTAGGTGGATGGATGTGTAAGTGGGTGAGTGGTAAGTGGCTGGGTCAACAGAGCTGGAGTTGGAGGCTGTGAACTATAAAATGGACCCTCCCCCCAGGTACATGCAGCGTAACCCATCCCTCTGGCCCAGCATTCATGCTTCCTCCTTCATTAACTCTCTTTCAGGGCTCTATTGGATTCCCTGGATTCCCTGGTGCCAACGGAGAGAAGGGCGGCAGGGTAAGGATGGCCTGACCTTTTGTTGGGAAGCTGCTCCACTCTCTTGGTGTGTGGCAGGTTGCTTCTCTGTTTATTTCTCTCCCACTCGGCAGAATGGCTGATCTTGACCCTGGGCTTTTAGCTCTGAGTTCTGGTGGTTCTCCCCAGACCAGGCTTGTGGCACTGTGATAGAAAGAGAGAGCGGGCAAGAAAGGAGAGCATGCTGGGAAAATGGAGCTTTCTGATAAACACCACAGGCCATTAGTGGAAACCAGACTTCTCTCTCCCTGGGAGACTTTTCCTGCAAGCTAATTTTAAAGAAGGAGGAAGCGAGTTTTCTGTGTGTGCCCCACACCCACCTCCCTTTGGGACCATGCTGCATGAGAGTCTCCAGCACCCCCACCCCAATTCCCTCATTGTCAGAGGTGGCCGTGGTCATCAACACCAGCCAGAGTATGAAGCTCTTTGAATCTTCTTGTCACCAAAGCATTTTGGGGATTGGAGTGGAAGAGAAGTGTTCCCCCCTACCTTTTGTGGAGTCTCTGCTGGCCCAGGCCTTCCTGGCAAGAGCCCACTGGTAGAATCACAGAGCCTGAGCATTGCTGGTCAGAAGATGGGCACAAGATGGTCATCTTGGGCCTTGGACTCCTAGTTGGCCTTGCCTATAGGCAGTAGGGGACAGAGAGGCCATCTGTGGGCTGTGCAGGACTGTGTCTGGAGCAGGCTCCTCTTGCATGTGCTCCACTGCTCCTCCCCGCTGCCCTCCCTGCCCCGCTGCCCTTGCTGCAGACAGAGCTGTAGATGTGAGGTGTAAAGCAGTCAGGCTCTCCTGGAGGCAAGAGAGACTTCAGACAGACAGCTGTGAACACACAGCTGCCCTGCCCATTTCACAGCCCAGAACCATGGGAGCTGCCTGGGAGTGGGCAGCTCAGGGTTGATGTGGGAGGGGGGCTGTTGCCTCCATCCGTGCCTCTTAAATCTGTCTCTCTCCATCCATCCATCCATTCTTCTAGAGATAGTCTGAGTAGTGTCTTAGAGAAAGGTTGTTCTCTGGAATATTCCCAGGGACCCTTGTGATACAGTCTGTGGTATCATAAGTAAAGAAACGCTGGTGTGTGGAGAGTCCCCATGCTGGGAGGACCTTCCTTTTCTTGTTGTTTTGAGAATCCCCAGGAGAGGGACATGGTCTTCATCACCTATGATGATCACAGATCTTTACAGTGAGGACTGCATGGATCCAGGAATGAAGGACCCTGCTGGCCCACTTCCCAGGCTCCCAACTAAGGCTCTGCCTTCATGTTCTTCAGCCTCCACCTCCATGATCAGGCCCAGGGTTTGGACAGATGCTCTGGGTACATACTGGCCCTCACTGGCCATTGTTCAGGGCATCAGCACTGTGGGTCACTAGACAAAGCCCAAAGCCTAAATCATGCCAAGATCTTGGAACCTGCCAGGCACCAATCACCCCAACTCCAAATGGGAACTGCTCCAGCCTTTTGGCATCAGCAAGTCCAGTCTGATGGAGACAGGAAGGCTCCATCCCCTGTGGCTACATGCCCCACCATGTCTCAAGACACAGACATTAGGCCCAGAGGGCGAGACCATTCATTTCCTTCAAGCGCACAGAACGATGTTATCCATTGAACTGGGCTACTGTCTCTATCTTTGCAACAAGTCAACACCTCCTGTCCAGGGGACAAAGTGCTGTCGTCATATGGTGACCCTCTGTGGAGTTGTTGCTGCAGAAAGATGTCTGTTTTCATGATGGGTTGTCACTTCATGCCAAGTTTGGGGATCAGGGAATGTGGTACCCCAGAGACTGTGGCCTCCCCAACTGAGTGCGGGAAGCCAGAGGCTGGGCTGTCCTTGTACGTGACTCCATCATTTGTTTCCGACTGAAGTCCCAGGAGCCTCTGGGAAACAGCACAATTTCTGATCCAAGAAGACTGATGCTGTCTCCTGAGTATCAGGGCTATGGTTGACCTAATTTTGCCCTTCACATGACTTCATAGTCATATAGGGTTTTGTTTGGAGACTGTTCGTTCATTTAAACAGCACATATTTTTGAGTCTTTGTTAATGGCGGGGCCTTTTGCCAGGTATCAGGGACTCAGATGACCAAAGCAGTTGAGAGTCATTCAGTGACCAGCACTTGCACAGGCAGTGAGCGAGCACAGAATGAGGATAGGATGAATCAGGGAGACATGGGAGGGTTTCATGGAGGGAATGGCATTTCAGGAGGAAGGGAAGTTGGAGAGGTGAGATGGGAGAGCCAGTAGAACTGTGGGATGGGAGGAAGAAGCCAGAAGCAGCCCAGCCCAGTGGAGCAGAGGTGGGGCTAGGGTGAGGCTGGGAGGTCCTACAGTCTAAGGTGCTTCAGAATGGCTCTTTATCCCAAGGCAGCCTGTAAGGACCCACTGCAGGGTCTATCTAGTCGGGGTGACCTGGGTTGCATTCTGGGAGAGGCATGGGATAGGGGCAAGAGGGCTGTGAATGAGGAGATCTGGCCCCTAGAGGCCTTTTCATCCTTGCAGTCCTCTGGTCAGATGGCTGCCTGAAGTGTTGGGATGCCAGGCAGGAATGACAGCACGTGTGTGCTGCCTCCTGCCCAAGTGGTGCCTGAGAACCTCTGACCTCTCTTCTGTGTCCTGCCTTCTGCAGAGCTGGTTGCTTCACAGTTTGTAACAAGTGGTGGTGGCATTTGGTGGTGTGAGGTTAAATATCTACTGTACCACCAAACAGCTGCACCCCAAGAAAGTGTAATGGCCAAAGTGATGTCCTGTGAGGAGCCTGCACCCTGGCCTTGGTAAGGCCCCAGGAGAGGAGGACCTTCAGAAATCCCCCAGAAAACACAAGGCTCCTTCTCCTTGGGCCTGGCTGCTTGGCTCCAGCACAGAATGTGGACAAGGTCGTCTGGGGCTTCCCAGTCCTTTCTGGAAAGAACAAGAAGACAAATACTGAAGCAATTTGTGGAGGAGGCCTGGGGTACATTCTGCTCATCACCTTCAGTCACTGGAACCCCACACTCTAGCGGGGCTTACTTTATGACCAAATCCCTATGAACAAGATGCCCCCAAAGGCCCAGATGGAACTGGGGACTGAGACTCTGTTTTGCCCCCTGCCAAGACCCAAGTGCCCAGGCCTTGGGGCACCCTTAGATCAGCTTGCACAGGAGCTGTTTGTCCTGGGAAATGAAATCCAGATGGAGAGCTGGTGCTGGTAGCAGGTGGAGGCTGTGCCATTGGTGAAGGTGGGAGGGAGGAGAGGCCCAGGCAGCTGAGGTCCAGCTTCAGACACCTAGAGAGAATCAGGGCTGATCACAGTGTATACACCCGCACGACGTTTATCACTCAGAGATTGCAGATGTTTCCCTAATTTTCATATGCAAATATTTATTTGAAGCCAAAAGATACTGCCACAGAGTTAACGCCCTGGAGCCAGGGTGCATTGTTGAAAAGCAGCGTAATTAACTCATCATTACAAATAGCTTTATTAAAAACCTGTCAAAAGCGGAGACAGGAAAGTAGTCTTGATTCTGGCGGCAAGTGAATGAAAGATGGTGAGAAGACATTTAGACTGTGGCTTCAGCACATTGATTAATCCTGGGCTCTGTCATTAGAAGCCAAAGTAAAAGCCAGGGAGGAGCTGGGGAGGTGGAAGCACCGCTTTCCATCCATGGCTCCTGCGAGCTGTAGGTAAACTGCACTTTCCAGCCGTTATGTCTTTGCTCTGGCAAAATAAATGTGGTGTGTTTGCTGTCTGTGGTTTGGAAAATGTAGAACAGCCACAGGAAATCAGGAGTCTAAATTCTATGAGAGGAGCCAGTGACTCCTGGATGTATGACTTCTGTGTGAAATTGCAGGTCCGCTCATCTATAGAGCCTGCTGAAAATTTAATGGCTAATATTCTTAACAGTAGCAAAAGTAAATTATGTATGAAAGGGGTTGACTTTCTTCTCTTTTCTTGCAATAATGTTTTTCCCTCCTGCTGGGGAGGAGGAAGGAATGGAGGTGGGAGAAGGAAGTTGATAACTGGTAAGCATTCATCAGAGCACAGGAGTAAAGTCAGATCTCACCAGGTCTGTGTGGGGCGCTGAGTGCTGTGTGCTGGGCAGTCATGCCCTTCCTTGCCCTGATAATCTCCTGCCCACACCAAGATAAGCAGGTGGCCCAGGAAAGCCTGCACCCACCCCCACCTCATTGAGTTCTCGGTGACCCAGAGGGTGGCCTTCCGAGCAGTGCCAGGCGTGTCAAGTATGACTGATCACTCTCTTCTCTGATTCTAGGGGACACCTGGAAAGCCTGGACCACGGGGGCAGCGAGGCCCAACGGTAACCTTCCTTGTAGCCTGAAGGCTGTCCAGTAGAAACAGGATTGCACGTAGGGACGGGCAGGTGGGCTACATGACTCTGGACATCTGTGCTGACTCTCCTTCCTTCTGTCCATCTGTCTGTCCAGGGTCCAAGGGGTGAAAGAGGCCCACGAGGAATCACGGGGAAGCCTGGCCCCAAGGTATGTTTTTGGTCCCTCTGTAGTGGTCTCTTGAATCAGTGTTTAAATGCTGTGAAGATGTGGAGTGCCTGAAGGTGGTCTGCACTTCCAGATGACAAAAGGGACAGTTTTTTTGGAGTAGTTAAGGAGAAACCTCTTCTCAACAGCCTTTGGCTGGATCCCGTAGCTAAGGGTGACAGAAGCAGAATAACCTCATCTGTGGTGTCCTGAGAGTCTCAGAGAGGCCAGACCCAGCACAGACCCACCTGGTTCTGGAGGGCAGACCTTGTTTGTTTCCTAGAGAGGGCATCAGGGAAAGCTTTACTAGAGAGTTCTTTCTGGCGCTGTGGCAGTGAAGCCCACTCTGACTAGACTGTCCATACCAAGAGGCATGAAGCCAGCTCCTCAGATTGTGAAGCTAGTGCGGGGAAGGGGGGTCTATCTCTGACCTTCCATTGACTAAAGGGCTGAGCTGGCCCATCCCTTAACCAACTGGAGTGTGCGACCAGGAAGCTACCAGTTGTTCTTCCATGCAGAGCTCAGGTGCATCTCCTGCCCCCAGGCAAGAATGAACAGCTTCTCAGAGCAGCTGCCGACAGGTGGGGGTGGCCCTGCACCAAATCCCAGTGCTGTCTTTGAGTGACTTTCTGATGAGTTTCTTGACTGGGCAGAGCCTTTGTCTGTCTGCAGGGGACATTATGGTAATGTCAGAGCCCTGCGAATGTCAGCTCAGTGTCCGCTCCATGCAGAGGTGAGAGGTCAGGCCAGGCCTGGGAGCCACCAGTGCTGACATGCTGTGCCCTCTGCTGAGGGTCAGGATGACCTTGACAAGGGCACATAGGCAATATCTGACTGGGACGTGGATGATGTCATGATCAGAGTGCTTTCATCCAGACAACAATCACAGTGTGCTTTTTTCTCCCTCCCTTCCTTCCTCCCAAGGGCAACTCTGGAGGCGATGGCCCAGCCGGCCCTCCCGGTGAGCGGGTAAGCTTCACACCTGGGCTGCAGGGACATCTCCAGGGAGGCAGCTGTCCCCAGAGATCCCTGTGCGCCTTCTGGGGGGCAGCTGGCGAGGAGAGGCAGGCCTTGCTCTTGCAGGAGTGGGACCCTGGGGTGGCTTATTCTGGGAGTGAGGCCCTCCTTGGTGAGAGACCTCAGCCTATCCACTGGGCAGATCTTGGAGGTGTGAGAAGACAGGAAATCAGTCCCTTGACTCCATCTTGCTGCTGAGGTCCCTGGGACATTGCTCTGTGACCTGGCTCACTAGAGACCTTGTTAGGCCTCCTGATTCTTCTCATGGTGGGGTCTGGGCCAAGGAAAGTAAGGGGGAAATTGGGGATCAGTGAGAAGTGAGAACCAGCTGCAAAGTGAGGACAACTGTGGGAATTGGGGGCAGGGACTTCTATCCTCTAACTGGCCACTCTCTGTCTTCAGGGACCCAATGGACCCCAAGGACCTACAGGCTTTCCTGGACCAAAGGGTCCTCCGGTAAGTCATGCTTCTTCTGAGAGTCTGGCTGGTTGGGATCCCCAGAGGGTGCTCCCGGGGCACCCTCATCTCCCTAAGGACTGCTGGGGAGGAGGAGACACATAGATCCTGGTTGGTTTAGCAGGAGGGGACAGCCCCCCTGGCCAAGGCTCCTGATGGAGTCTGTGGCTGGGTCCACTTGCCTGAACACCCGCATTAGAGAGAGCCTTGGATGGGTCCTGTGCCACTTATACCATCACAGTGTTGTATTTGGGTTCAATGTTGTATTGGGCCACCATAGCAAATTGTCATAGACCTTATGACATGAAACAACAGAAATGTTCTCTCAGTTCTGGGGGCCAGATGTCTAAAATCAAAGCGTTGGCAAAGCTGGATCCTTCCAGAGACTCCAGGGAAGGGGACACCCACATCAGTGGTGGGCAGACCCATGCCAGGGGGAGGAGAGACCCACACCAGGGGAGGGGAGACCCATGCCAGAGGAGGGGAGACCCACACTAAGAGAGGCAGACCCATGCCAGAGGATGGGAGACCCATGCCTGGGAAGGGCAGACTCACACCGTGGGACAAGAGACCCATTCCAGGATATTCCCCTGGACTCTGGTGTTGCCACCTGTCCTCGGTGTTGCTCAGTGCCCTGACTCTGCCTCCATCTTCATGTGGCCCGTTCCTCTCTGTGTCTACAAGTCCCTGTCTTGATAAGAACACAGGTCAGTGGGTCAGGGCCACCCTGATGATCTCATGACCTCCTCTAACAGTGTTTTCAATGAGATTACACTCTTAGGTTCCAGGATTAGGACTTCACTTATCTTTTGGGGGGACACAATTCATATTGTGGCAGGTAAAGCATGGTTCTCCTAATACCCCTCTAAAACGAAAAAGTGGACCATGGTGGGGGTTACTGCCAAACAGGGTGGCCATGGCAGTGATCAGGAAGGAGTTCAACTGCCAGCTAGACAGATGTGGGCTCTAGTGCTGCCTGACCCTTGGACGTCAGAGCTGATTGGCGTCCCCTGCCTTTGCTTCCTCCCTGGAAGACAAGGAAGATGAAAGTGTGCCTCCCCTGGGCAGCTGTGGGGATTCAGTACCAGGGAACCTGGGATAGGCTTGTCCAAGGCACTCAGTTACAAGATCACTGTGACTTTTAGGTGACCACTTTGCTCAGAGAAAGCCCCAAGGGCGAGAGCCACTGAGACAATGGTAATTTTTGTTCCCGTGTAGCATCACGTCCCACTGAACATGGTGCTTCTCAGAGCTGAATGAAACTTCTTCCTCTGGCTCTTTTCTGCAGGGCCCTCCAGGCAAGGATGGACTCCCTGGGCACCCTGGACAGAGAGGCGAGACCGTGAGTATCGTGGGTGCTGCCTGACGTGGCCGGCATGGCCTCACTGGTTCTCCCACAGCTCTGGACAAGGCTATGCCATCGCTGTGCAGCATAGCCTTGGGGACCCTCCTGGCTTGAGAGAGATCAGCCAGCCTGGCAAGGCTTCCTAAGGGCCAGCTGTCTGCTATTGCCTTGGGGTGAGGCTGTGGGGTCTCTGGTAAAGAACAGCAGTGCAGGCCAGCAGCTCTGAGACATCTCTGGGCAAAAAGCAACTTCTGGCTTTTTGCAAGTTTTAACAGCTTTGGTCAAAGGCCACATTTAAAACCAGCAGGACGTAGATATCATCGGCATACTGAAACCTTATTTCTCCCGCCTGGTTCCCCTTCAGTTCTTGGGAAGGGTCTCCATTTGCAGCTGGCTGTGAAATCATTTATGTCACAAAGCCTTAGGAGAAGGGCTGTGGACTTACACCAACCCCAGCTGTGCTCTTCTGGGAGGTTCCAGCCTGGGGGTGAGGGGGGGGCTGATGGTAAACTTCCTTTTTCCTAGTAGACAGGGCAGGTGGCTGGTTCTGCTGAAATTTGGCTTTTCTTTGGGCTCTGAGCTGTGCATGTGATGGACATCTTTGTGTCTGGGGATCTCCTTTGACCTTCTCTTGCCTGTAGAAATGCATGATTCAGGATAGCTTATCTCCACGGTAATAAAACCTACCACTTTCCATTGGCTGGGGATGAATTTATCAGAAATGTGGACATTTTCTGGCCCTTTAGCCATTTGGGATCTGTCCCATTTTGTTGAAGGCATGTCCTAGGAAAGAGTGTGGACATACTTGTGACCTTGGGGCTCCAGGCTTTGAATAGCTGAGGCCTCACAGTGCTGGGTGACTTCCCTGTTGCTGTTCTGTGTTCTGCTCTCAGAACACAGAACACCTCATCCAGAGTAAAGGACAGTTTGCACAGATGTAAGCCATTTCCCAATGAGGAGCAGGGTGGGGCCGTGGCGGGGGGGGGACACTCAGGGTCTGACAGATAAGGCTCCTTTGTCTCTACAGCCAACTTTCTTGTCCCTGAAGGTCTTAGAAGCCTCTTCTAGCCCAAGCAGGCCCCTCCTGAAATGGGTCCTCGAAGGCCTTATCTGATATAAAATCCTGCTTTTTGAAAATCCCTTTGTTTCTCTTTGGTGGTGAAATCTCTTTTAATTATACCTCTGCTGGTGAGCCACAGAGCACATGCTGACTAATAAATGGAGGTTACTTTGCTCTTTTGTTTATAGAGAAAAATTAAAACATTTCTTCTGAGCTTTGTACATTTTTCTCTAATGCCTTTCCAAGGAGACAAGATAGAAAGTTTTGCATATTGTGTGATTTTTTTTTTTTTCCCTTGATCTTGTTCTAGAAATAGGTTGGTAAAATAATTAAGCTGCTTGTCTTTGCTGGGAAAGGTGTACTTTCCAGCAGCTTCTGCTGGGCCTGCCCACCTGCTCAGGCAGTACTTCAGTGGTGCTGGGCTGTCTCTGAGACCCATCTGGGGTGCAGAGGTTCCTCCACAGGCCAGCCAGACACTGAGAAAACAGTCTTCCCTGGAGTGTTCTGGTTCTTTCTCTCTCTCCTCTCTCTGATGAAACACAAGTGGTCATTACTTTCTCTAAATGTGAGCCACAAGCCCAATTCTCAGCAAGGGCCTGAAGACAAGTACCATCTCATCAGTTGAGGATGGCCTCTGAATAACCATGGGCCAGATAGGGTGGCCTTTGTTGACTTTGTCATTAATGATGACATTAGCAAAGCTTCACCCAGACCTGCCTCTACCTGTCCACCACTCTTTACTTCTGACCACAAAGCACAACTTCCACAGAATCCGGTCTTAAAAATGGCCATTCAGGGCCATTGAATGCCACTGAGCTGTGCTGAGAGAAGACAGCCCTCCTGGAATCTGTGGAGGACCCAGCTGGCCTGTGGAGGACCCAGTGGGCCATGGTTCATGTGGCCCAGAGGCTTGTGTGAGATCCCAGATGCTTGCCCAGAGGTGTCTGCCCATCTTCTAGTCCGAGCTCTGGCCTCAAAGTTTCCTTCTAAGGTCTCAGGTGGTTCATGTGTTTCTGTGCTGCTGCCATTGCAGACAGCACCTTGTAGCACTTGCACAGGGCCTTGGGGCAACTCTCCCCTCACAGGAGCGTTTAGGGAGCAGAACCAACCCAGACAGACCTGGAGCCCTGACCTACATGCACAGAGCTGAGAGGAGACATTCTCTATGAAGCACATTAAAAAATAGTCCATTCATCTGTCAAGTTCTGAGAGCAGCCAGGCCTGGCTCGTGCCTGTCCTAAATCCACGCAGAGGAGTGTGCAGGCGAAGCACCTGCCATGCATCAGAGGGATGGAAGATAAAGGCCGGAAAGTCCCACAAAGTCACTAATGAGAAACAGCCCAGAGGTGGCTCCTGAGTCTGCTTAGAAAACGAATGCTTACCAACTTGAGAGAGACTGATGGGTTCAAAATCTGTTTCTCAGCACAAAAACACGCCAGGGAGCTAACTCCTCTGACTTCTTACCTTCGTGAAATTAATACAGGAACAGAGCAGGAGAAATGGCCCCACATGAAGTCTGGCTCCTTCACTCTTTGGGGACAGGTGGTGGGAACGAGCCTGTTGGTGGAAGCAGGGTAGGGTGGTGGCTGTCATTCAGAGGGACCTCAGCCTGCTGACTCTCTCCACAGGGTTTCCAAGGCAAGACTGGCCCTCCAGGCCCCCCAGGCGTGGTTGGCCCTCAGGTAAGGCATGACATCCTGGCATCCTGAGTTATCAGGTATCACCTGACCACACTAGGGAGAGTGTGGTCTCCCAGCTCTTAAGGTGTAGACCCCACTAATGGAGGGACTTAAGCCCCACAGTGAGTGCTAACTGTAGGAGATGTGCCCTTTGCAGGAGACCATCTTGAGAGAAAGGGCAAATGGCCCACAGACAGGCTCAGCTTGGGCCAGTGGGTAGAACAAAGGTGGCCTGAGTTGGAGCCAGATGGGACCCAGCTCCAGAGTGTGCCTTCCTCAGGGCAGGGCCCAGCTATGCCCACTTGTCCTTAATGTGGGCAGCCATGGCACTGAATTCTCCTGCATGGATCCTGCCAGCACGCTAGAGCTCCTGTCCCAACCATGGCAGATCAATGAAGGGAGTGGTTTTCAGCTGGGACTGATGGCTCTAGAGCGACACACAGGCAGCAGTCACCCTGGTCTTTAGAAACTGTGCACCTAATATGGTGGCAATAAGACATTGTCCCCTGCTGCCACAGAGCTGAAATGAAGGACAGGGAGACTCTGGTGTGGCCCTTCTCCCAGTCCCATGGCTGACTTGGCCATCCCCAGCACCCTTCAATTCCAGAGACATGGTCTGCAGGGGGCAGGGGGTGCCAGCCTCAATGTGGGGTCAGGTGACAGTGCCCACCCAGCTTCCTTTCACCTTTTCCTTCTGGATTTTGGCTGGAAGGAGACTTGCGAAGGAGTGTGGAGCATGGAGGTGTGGCCACGTGAGCTTTGCCTCCGTGGAGCAGCTGACCTTAGACTCAAAAAGAGAAGGTCACTTCCTAGCTAGCACTTGAAACTGACTTGTGATGACATTGGTTTTCCCATAGGGTCCCACAGGGGAGACGGGTCCCATGGGTGAACGTGGACACCCAGGGCCCCCGGGCCCTCCTGGTGAACAGGGACTCCCCGGCCTCGCTGGAAAAGAAGGGACAAAGGTGAGTTTCTGGAAACTTCCATCTCAGGCTAGCCTTTCCTTGGGGATTATTTAGGGCTTGGTATTTTCTCTTGCTCCTTCCAGATGAATGGATAATTTCTCAAACGTTCTTCTTGCCAAACCCCTGAGTTTAGCTCCACTTTCTGAGCTGGGGCTTGGGCTGATCTGCTGCAGGGACCAAGCACAAAGAGAATCAGCGGGACCCCTGCTGAGGGCTCCTTCTCCAGCTGCCCCCTCCCAGGGTTGGACAAAAGCTCTTAGACTTGACATCTAGTATAGATTCAGTAAAAAGTGACCCTTTGAAAATCTCCCACTGGGCAAGGCTAAAAATAAATTCTAAAAGTGAATGTGCCTCTATCCTCACTCCTGTGGCTCTTACCGCCCCCTTTTCTCATCTGGCCATGCCCCATGGATTAGCATAAAAACAAACAGCCTTCCCGCCGCCTTTTTTGTAGGGGACTCAGAAAACACAAGCTCTCGGGTCTTGTCTGTGGCCACACGCAAGAGGGACTTAAAACATGGTGAAAATTTGCAAATAAAGGCACACTGAGAAAAATCACACCCTGTGCACGTGTATACCTATGCACTTGAATAGATACGTTCTAGAACATACTTACACACTTGCTGTGTACATCTATCCTTCGGGGCACAAAGAGCTCACTGAGTTGGAAGAAGCCATGTGAGCTGCTGGTCTGGAAAGACCCTCTGCTTCCATGTGAAGCCCAGAGAAAATTCTGGAAGATATTATAGCTCTAATGTCCCTTGGACAGGGTACGGGCATGGATGGGGTGTCTTTTCAGAAGTGTGGCTTTGGACAGGCAACAGTGACGGGTCCCTGTGGGGCAGAGCTTTGAACCGTGGGTTAGTCACAACTCCACTAGCTAAACACCGCTCTGTGATGAACCCCAATTCCACAGGTAAGGTAGATGTGCCCCCAGCTCCTGCTCAGTCCTTGTGACCCTTCAGGACTATGGGAGCTGGACCCCATGGAAGGCAGAGAGGAAGTCACAGATTAAAGTCCCTTCCCCAGATCCATACTTGGACCCAGTCAGGGGAGCATGTCTCCTGGGTGCACACCTGGGCCATGTACTCATCAGAACCAAACCCAAACCAAACCAAAACACACGAAAGCCAAGGAATTCCTTTGAAGGCCAAGGGGCCCTGGAGAAGCCTGGCCTAGGACAGCCCTATCCCCAGGGGCTCTTGGCAGGGAAAGTCCCGCCCCAGCTCCCAGAGATGCAGATCTCATGCCCTCTGGAGCTGGTAGAGGCCAGCAGTCTGTGACTCCAGAACCGTTCACCTCTACCTCTGTTTTCAGGGTGACCCAGGTCCTGCCGGTCTCCCCGGGAAAGATGGCCCTCCAGGATTGCGGGGCTTCCCTGGGGATCGAGGGCTCCCTGGTCCAGTGGTGAGTGAGGAGCCAGGCAAGTGGACTGGGGTGGTGTGTGGCCTTGGGGTGCCTAACCCACATCTCGCTACTTTGCAGGGAGCTCTTGGACTGAAAGGCAGCGAGGGTCCCCCCGGTCCCCCAGGCCCTGCGGTGAGTGGAAACCTTTTGTCCCATCCTCTTACTCAGACCCACTCCACAGGCAAAACAGGACAGTCCCCGAGAGCTAGGAAGGCACACTGTGTGGTGTGGCCCGGGGACTTTGGCAAGTTTGGGGACAGTGTACCTGAGTTAACGTGGAGGATGACAGTGTCCCAGGGACACCCATGTTGAGGGGATGAAGTTGCAAGTAGCTTGGAGGGCAGATGCATGGTCCTGTCTGTCCTGGGCCAGCAGTGGAGGGTGGACGTAGGTGTCACTGGTTCTGGGAATGCATCCTAGCAATATGCAAGCCACCCAGGGCAGGCAGGAGGCCTGGCTCCAGCCTATTAGTGCAGGGACTATGACCTGATTTCTCTTGAACTCATCAGCCCCTTTCAACCTCTAAGCCACGAATTAGAGGCCCATGTCCCCAGACCCTTAGCTGTGGTCAGGTGGGACAAGGGCAGGGGGGCTGCCCACCCTCAGTGGCAGGTCGACAGCTTCTCTGCTCCTGGCCAATGCTGGTGGAAATGGAGCATCTGCCTTACTTTCTCCTGCCATTCAGAAGAGCTCAGTAGCCCCACTCCAGGGTCCAGGGCAGCTGGGTTTGAGAATGGGCCTGTGAACATCATCCCAACTCCCCTAATTGAGTTCAGGCTCACGTGAGAGGCAAAAGGGAAGTTAGGTGGACAGGAATATCTCATGCTTCCTTCTGACAGGGCAGGCAAATAGCTCTGGCCTCTTGCTGTGACTCCAAGGTTAGGTCAATACCCACCTACCAGCAGTGCCTGCCTCTGCGATAGGGCTTCCTCCTCCTTCCCCATAAAACCTAAAGAATGGAGGAGCAGAGCAGAAAGTGTGCACCCTGTGGATAATCAGACCCTAAAGGGGATGGGGGATGCCAAGCCCCTGGGGGAGACTGTTGAAGGCAGGCTTGTGAGGAGAATGTGTTCCCACAAACTTGGAGGGGGAGAAGGGGCTGTGTGAGATGGAATTATGAAGAGAAGAGCTAAGAAGGTGCCAGATGACACAGAGCCTCAAATGCTAGAACAAATAGTGTGTGCTTGCAAAGGGCCATAGTGAGCTACTGAGGCCTCTAAAGTGAGGAGGTGAGTGGTGTGATCAAATAGAGCTCTAGGAAATTTTATCCATTCAGTTTAAGAACCTTTGAAACAAACCATTTTCCTTCTCTAGGGATCCCCAGGGGAAAGAGGTCCAGCTGGTGCTGCTGGGCCCATTGGAATTCCAGGGAGACCTGGGCCTCAGGGACCTCCAGGACCAGCTGGAGAGAAAGGAGCTCCTGTAAGTACTGCCTCAGATTTGGGGAGCCCTCCAGTGGAGGTGCTGGGGCCCCTTCCCGTGGCCGGTGTTCCCATGGGCACTTCCCTGGGGTTGTGGGGGGGGTGGTAAAGCATGATTGTCCTATAAGGAGCTTGATGCTCCAAGGGACCGTGGCTCAGGCAGGAGCCCAGTACCAGCCCAGCCTGTCCCCTCTGCATGCAGTGTTGCAGACTAGGATGGTCTGTGCCCTGTGGACCTGGTGTCCCCCAACCCTCTGGGCCACATGTGCAGACGGCCTGGCTGCCTGCTGAGTACCCAGCCCCTCCCCATTGACCCACCCCACAGCTGATCTTAGAGAAAAATGGGTGTTTTTGTTTTTGAGGTATGAGGGATTAGATCTAAGCTAAGGAAGGGCTCTATCCCTTTAGGCCACACCCCGGGCCGTTTGCTTGTGTTTTGTTTTAGGAGGGTTTTTTGTTTTGTTTTGTTTTTTGGCAGTACTGGGGATTGCACTTAGGGCCATATGCTTCTAGACAGGTACTCCGCCACTTGAGTCACATCCAGCCTTTTTCTTTAGTTTGTTTTTCAGATGGGGTCTCCCACTTTTACTTGGACCTTGATCCTCCTACCTTTGCCTCCCAGTAGCTGGGATCACAAGCGTGAGCCAGCATGCCTGGCCTTGTATTTTGTATTTGAGACCAGGTATCACTATCTTTGCCTGGGCTGGCCTCAAACTCAAAATACTAACCCCACCTTCTTAGTAGCTAAGACTTTAGGCATGCAAAAGCTAGTATTGACTGATTGATTGATGTGGTACTGGGGATTGAACCAGGGCCCTGTGTGTGCTAGGCAAGGTCTCTACCCTTTGAGCCATGCCCCTACCCCGAAAGACCCTACTTGGAAGCTGGTGCTACCTTTGTTGATCTGGGGTTACACATGGAGAGAAGCCATCTGGCAAAGAAGGGCGGAGCTGGCTCCAGGGATGATGGACTGCTTCCTCTATGAACTTCAAGCCCTGCAGTTCTCAGAAACCTCAGGATAGAGGAGCAGGTCCCTCCCACCAAGTCACTCCTTAGGAGCAGCCTATAGCTCCTTCCCTGTGTCACCAACAGTGCTCACCATCCAAGTGGCTCTCCTACCATGTCACACCATTGTGCACCTTCCCAACTGCCCTGCTTTCAGACAGCTGTGCAGACATAGTCCAGATCAGTGTCCTCATCTTAGCTCAGGGTCAGCTTGAGCCTGAGTGGGGGGGACTGGCCAAGGGTGCCCAGGTGGGCTGTGTGCCCATTGACTTGTGTTAGTGAGGGATGACTCCTGTGCTCTGCCCTGAGGGGCTCACAGGCAGGAAGAACAGCTTGAGCAAGAGATCCCCATTTAAGCTGTGTCGGGAGAATCCTTCAAGGAATTATCACAACTGGATGCCATCCGCTCATTTCTAGTGAGGCACCAAGACAGCGTCCAGCTGGAGTTCGTGCAGGAAAACAGATGCCTTCGGGCATTTAGCACACACAGGGCAGCTCAGCTGCAGAGAGTGGAGCACCCAAGAGCACACGTGTTCAGCTGGAGAGGGAGCCGTACACCGGCCTGTACCTTCAGCTACAGACAGCTGGCTCGCTGTTTGCAGAGAGTAAATAGGCAGGAGCCTTGCCAGAGCTGGTTTGTACCAGGCGCTGAGGAGCTGCGCTCTCCTGGACTGGCTCCAGAGAGCAGAAAGGTCAGGGAAAGGGCTAAGCATCTCCATTGCCTCCCATCTGACTGATAACATGGGACAGGAAGGCTGCACAGGAACCGTGCTTGCAGCCCTGGTATCTCTGCCTTATGGAGGGCAGACATTTCTATCTACGGCTCCAAATTTGGGAAGGAGGAGTGAGTGGTGTGGCGGGGAGGGAGATGGGAGTGTCATGCCTGGGTCATTGCAGGCCAAACATCAAATATGCATTCTCTTGGGTCCCACACACACACACACACACACACACTCGCTCACTCATTGCACCTACTTTCTTTGTATCATTGAGAGAAAGAGATTCCTGGCTGGGGAGAGAATATCCCATTGCTCAAGGCGATGGGATAGACAGCAGGCAAGCCTGAGCAAAGAAAGAACTTGGTGAGGGGGCTGTGGATGCAGCTCAGTGGTGGAGTATTTGCCTAGCATGCATGATGCTCTGGTTTGTTCCCTAGTGAAGCAAAAAAATAAAAAATAAAAAAATAAGGACTTGCCTGGGCGTGGCTCAAGTGTAGAGCACCGCCTAGCGAGTGCAAGGCCCTGAGTTCAACCCTCAGAAAAAAAACTTAGCAAATACCATTGGAGACCACCAAGAAGGCAGACTGGGGACAGAGAAGATAAGGGTTTGTGTGTGTACATGCATGTCTGTGTATCGTGCACGTGCATGTGTGTATACATGTCCCTGTGTGCACGGGTGCACAGTGTGTGTGTATATTCTGTGTGTGTGCGTGCACGTGGGTGTGTATGTCTAGGTGTACATATGTGTGTGCATTTGTACAGGCAGGGTATTCATAAGAATTGAAAGAGTGATAAAGTCAGTGGAGGCTGGGGCTCCCTTGACTTGGCCCAGCTCACTAGCTTGGATGATCCCTCATACAGGCTCAGGAGTTTGCTGGCTGGATTTGAATCCTGGCTCTCTGCTCACCAGGTGTATTAGTCAGTTTCACATCATTGTGACCAATACCAGACAGAAGCAATTTGAAGGAGGAAAGATTTATTTAAGACAGACAGGAAGGGTCCAGAGACAAGGTCTATCTCCAGGGCACCCCCAGTGACTCACGTCCTCCAACCGGGCCCCCACATCCTAAAATTTCTACTACCTCCCAAAGTAGCACCATCAGCTGGGGACCAAGTATTCAACACTTTTCATATTCAAACCATAACACTAGCTAGGTCTCCATTTCTTATCTGTAAAAGCAGCCCTTCCTAGGATGCAGTGAAGAGCCAGTCACTCAGAGTCCAGAGCCAGTCACTCAGAGTCCAGGGCTGGCCTCAGTCAGCCCTTAGACATGTGGCAGAAGTCTTCAGAACCATGGTCTCCTGTCTGGGCTGATGAGTTGGTGCTGGAATGTTCCCATGATGGAGCCCTGTTGACTAGGGATCTTCTGTCCTATCTAGGGCGAGAAAGGCCCACAAGGCCCAGCTGGCCGTGATGGCCTCCAGGGTCCTGTGGGACTCCCCGGTCCAGCTGGCCCTGTGGGTCCCCCTGGAGAAGACGGAGATAAGGTAAGGACAGTGAAGCTGTGTGTGGCCGAGCCTGGCAGGCTGGCAGGTGAGCGGGAGGGCGGTGGATTTAAACAGCAGCTTGCGCACGGGTGGAGCTCAGCTGAGAGAGCAGCCCTGAGCCACTGCAGTGCTTTAAAAGTAGCACATGGATGGTGATGAACCAACATGCAGGAGGGAGCGTGGACACCACTTCCTTCTTGTGCAAGTTTTGTTATTGCCTAAGATGTGTGCAGTTAGTAGCCAGAGCAAAGAAAATTGCTCCCTTCTGAATCATTTCCAGTCTGGAATCTGCAGAGCTGGATTTAATGAGTTTTTACTGAATATCTATTCTTAAATGTGTTCTCTTGAATTATCAAGGCTCTGTTTCATTAAGTGTGTGCTTTATAATCTGACACCATTACCAAGGAGCTTGTATTTTATACTTCATTTAATGAAGACAGCAAAACTTCACTCTTCATTTATGACATTCCCCACTTTGTCACCTCTGCATAGAGGGTGGCTTTCATCTCGGGGTGGGAGGGAGCCCTGTGGCTTTCATCTTGGGGTGGAGGGAGCCCCTCCCTGACAGAAACTGACAACTTTAACATGCCCTCAGGAAGTGCAGTAATCGAGTTACTTACTATGTTACGTTGCCAGTCCAATTTGAAAAGGAAAGTGGACATGTTCAGAGACTTTCCCTCACAGCAGCCTCAGCTACTAACATCCTGTACAGTGTCAGATCAATACCTCGTGCCTTCCAGACCTTGTATCAGAAAGGAAATCCAATTAATGTAAGGAAGCATTTCTTCTTATGGAAGTTCTGGGGCCACAGAGGAAGCAGACTGCTTCTAGGCTTCAAGAAAAAATGAGTCAAGAGAATGAAAAAGGTCACTGGGCTTGCTAACTGCATCCTTCCTGTCTGTCCCTAGGGAGAGATTGGGGAGCCGGGCCAGAAAGGAAGCAAGGGGGACAAAGGCGAACAGGTAAGAGCTGTGAGGCTGCATGTGGATGACTGGAGGGGGCTCTGTTTTTCGCTCCCTCCCTTGTTAGAGCGAGCTTTCTCTCTCACTCTTGGGTATTACTGAACCTGACTGGACTTAACTGGAAGCGACTGGAGATTCAGAAAAGATACAGGATAGACAGACAGACAGAAAGTGGGGTCAGGCGTGTTGGGTGCTCAGCTGCAGATGTACAACCCTCATTGCTTCTTTTCTCTATCTTTATTCTTTAAGGCCTTACTTCTTGCAGTTCTTTAAAACCTTGCTTAAAACCTCTTTCCTCAGACTTGCTCTGTCCCATGTTTTCTCTTATCTTTAGCCTAATCACTCTTAACACCTTGCAAAGTCTCAGTCCTCTATCTTGCACTGTCCCATGTTGTCTTCAGCTTTTCTTTAGCTTCTAAAGCCTGTCAAAGTTCTCTCTTTGGTTTAGCTTTCTAAGGCCTATGTCAAAGATCCCGGTGCAGACTTTCTGTCAACCCCTCTTTAGCCATTCTTTTCTCTTCCAAAAGCTTCCCATGCCTAAAAGCCCAAAGCAAAAGCCCAAGGCAAAGGCAAAAAGCCTCCAGCCCTCCTTCAGGGGTCTTTTATACCCAGGGGTGAACAGGGTGGAGCAGCGATTCTCCGGGAAGGGTGTGACATTGTTACAGGAGAAACCTGCGTTCCTGCTTCTATGAATGCAAGCTTAGCAGATGCAGCTGTTCCGCTTTTTCTGCTTCGTGACCAGGTCTGTGTCTATCTAGGCCTACGGGTAAAAGCAATTAAGCCGCGTCTCGCCTTGCTTACCTCCAGTTCTCATAGGCTTTTCATAATCAGGTCTCCACAGGTGGCCACGGAGTGCAGGGGCCTTGTGCTCACTGTTCTCATGGCTGACATCAATAGGATGCTCCAAATCCTGAGTGTGAGTGTGTGTGTGTGTATCTAAGTCTGTGAGTGGATCTCTAGGTTAAAAGGTGGACAGGCTGCATTCACAGGTCTTGTGTGAGAGCAGGTAACACGTTGGCCCAGTCACAGGCCTGGTCCACCCTCTAATGCTGAGGAGGGCAGAAGACAGCAGAAGCAGCCCACTCAGTTTTTCCTTTCCCTCTTTTGCCTCCTGTTCAGAAATCCTAGTGTGTCCTTGCCATGCTGCCTCCTGACACCATGGGAGGCCTCCTGACTATTTGTACAGCTGTGTCTTTCCCCAGTGTTTTTGTTTCTGGAAGAGACATCACCAGGCCCCTGTTGGGCCTTGGGCTTGCTGAGGATGGGGCTCTCTTCCCGCTTTGCTGTCCTGCCTCCCCTGATCATTGGTTTGAGGACAGCACAGCGCAGGGGCAGGGGACATGATGGAGTCACCCCACCTCATCACAGATGAGCTGTGTGGTCTCTAACCCTCACTGTCCACCAGAGGCCTCATATGCCCATATCAGGGTGTGGGGTGGGAGCTGAGAGGTCACAGGGTAGCTTCCAGCACTTTCTCTGCCACCATCTTGACGGGCTGGGGTGAATCAAGAATGCTGCAGGCTTTCCACCTGCTCTGACGTGTGGACAGTCAACATCCCCTGCTTTGAGTGCCATAATTAGGGGCTTACTTCAGAGCCCCTGCACTGGCGAGCCCTCACGTGGGATGCAAATCACCCCAACCTTTGGCCTTGTCTGCAATTCAGGAAGCAACCCGTGTCTCTGTTTGCTCCTTGCAGGGTCCCCCCGGGCCTACAGGTCCTCAAGGCCCCATTGGACAGCCAGGCCCCTCCGTGAGTATCTGTGACAAGTGACCTCATAGAGACCCAGCCCCACTAGCTGCTGCTTGGCTTCACCCACAAATCACTTCTTTCTCTACAGGGAGCAGATGGTGAGCCGGGCCCTCGTGGTCAGCAGGGCCTATTTGGACAGAAAGGAGATGAAGGTTCGAGAGGCTTCCCAGGGCCGCCAGGGCCAGTGGGGCTGCAGGTAACTTCAGGGCTTTCCAGGGCAGGGCTGTGGCAACTGTGTCCCAAGTCTAGCTGAGCCCACCTCTCCTGATTTTTTAAACATGGGGAAACTGAGGCTCATGGGCAGGGATGGGAGGTACTGCCAGTTCCCAGAAGTCCCAGGATGCCCACACACACTGCTTTTAAGAAATCACATGTACTTCTGTGCTTGCCTTGGAGACTGGGGACACCGGTCAGTTGTCAGAAAAGGAAACACAAGGCCACTTCTAAACACACCCCCAGAAATGACAGCCATCCACGTGGGCACGTTTTGTCTCCATGGTTTTTAAAATGGGGACATTCGTAGCCACATGGGCATATAGGTTGTTGTGTTTGGTGTTTGCAAAATCTGAATCTCGTCATGCTTTCTAGAGCTGTACCCAGATTGTCACTTTATATTGTGGGCGGAGGTGTGCAACGTTGATTCTCTGAATCCATGGCTTTGTTTTGGAAACGCAGTTTTTAGTTACTGCACACTATTTCAGTATGTGGTGGGGATATAACTGATCCTTGCTGCCAGTTCCTTGGGTTGGTTATTTTATGGGACACTGCCATCCACGTGTTGTCCGTAAATCTTTGCACCACCCTTTGACGGTTTCCTTGAGCTAACTCAGCCTTGGAACCAGGGCATGGCCATGGACCCAAGCAAGTGCACTGCAGGGGCCCAGAGCTCTGTGCACCCTGTTGGAGAGGACCATGAGAGGTGTGTGCATTTCACAGAACAGCACCTAACCACAAAGTTTCCTGTCCTCAGGGTTTGCCAGGACCCCCAGGTGAGAAGGGTGAGACAGGAGACGTGGGTCAGATGGTAAGTGTGGCCACTGAGGCTTAGACGCGACGCCTGGCTTACATTTTAAAGGGAGGTTTGCATTTTGTCTGGGTTCAATGTTCTTTCTTCCTCCTAGGGCCCTCCTGGTCCCCCTGGCCCTCGAGGACCATCCGGAGCTCCAGGTGCTGACGGGCCACAGGGTCCTCCCGGTGGCATAGGGAACCCGGGCGCAGTGGGAGAGAAGGTGACATTTCTTACTTATTGTAGTGACAGCTCTGTCTGTGTATGCATGTGTCTTCATGTGTGCCTGTGTGTGTGCACTTGTATGTGACTCTGTGTGTCTTTGTGTGTATGTGTGTGCAGAGCTGTCCGAGGACAAGGCTGGGCCATTTCTCTCAAATACATTTTGAAATTTAGAAATAGATTTGTGTACTACAATTGGGACCTCTGACATGTTTATCTGTGACAGCATTTTGCAGAATTTCCAAATGTTGCACCCACCTGCCAGCCTTCACTGGCAGTGTCCTGTCACCTTCCCAAGACAACCTTAATGGAAATCACTGTCTCCCCCTCAAAGTGCTGTGGCTGCTAATTCACCTTGGTCCGTCCTTCCTCATGGCCCAGGCCTCCTCACTGAATTGACATTAGAGCCCGGGCCTTAGAGTGAGCACCATGGCCTGATGGGGTGCATGGGCATGCGTGTACATGGATACATGTGGGCACAGTGAGTGTGACTGTGAGGGGTCCAACTCCACACGGTGCTTATAAGCTTGCACTACCTTAAGAGACTTGTCTTGGTTCTTTGGAGGAGAGGAGAGACACGGTACACATCTGGATGCCCTGCCCACTGTTTCTAGAGCTTTCATTCTGATGCAGACAGGGTATAAGTTGGAGGAAGTGTTTCCTCAATGCTCATTTTTTATGATAGAAAAGTTGCAGAGAAACACAGTGCCCGGTAGAGGTGCACTGCTTCTACCCAGAGAGATGACATCTTCCTTCTGTCCCCTGCACATGTCCCTGTTGACCTGCTGCCACCTCACAGGCCCTTCCAACCTGTCCCAGGGCTGTGCTTCTGTGGATACCTTTTGCTGGGCCCCTACCTTTGCCCTGCTGCACCCACCTTCACCAAGCATCTCCTAATTCTCCAGCTCCCTAGGCACCTGCTCGGGATGGCCTTTGCTGAGAATGTCCCTTGTGATCCAGACGGCCCCCCCACTCCACCTAATCCCATGTCTTAACACGCCTGCGTCTCTCACTGTTCACCCATGACCAAGTTCACTGCAGGCCTCGCCCTGCAATCCTAGGAGCTATCTGGGGACAGTAACCTCTGTCCCACCAACCTCTGGGTCCCTGGTTTCCATCGTTAGGCAAGCAAGATTAGGCAAGGCCTGGCTTCCCAAGCTAGTGCCATTATTGTCACTATGGTAACCTTGTAACACATTGCTTTGTCTCTTTAGGGTGAGCCCGGTGAAGCTGGCGAGCCTGGCCTTCCAGGAGAAGGGGGTCCCCCGGTGAGTGTGTAGGCTTTGGAGGGAGTGGGATGTGCTTGACACAGTGTGGATAAAGCACTGGGTCAGAAGTTTCATCCCTGCCTCAGTTTCCCTTTCATGCAGTGGGAGTCATAACTCTGCTATGCCAGCCAATGTCACAGAATTACAGTAGAAAAGAGGGCGTGTGAGGAGAGGCTAAGCTTGTGTGTGTGCATGGGTGCATACATGCTTGTGGGAGCACACATGTGTGCCCTTGTGTGTGTGTGTGTGTGTGTGTGTGTGTGTGTGCATGTGTCCATGTAGACCTCAGCAATAATCCCTAGGACCAGTGGCTGCCAGTAACTCCACCATCTGTAGTGCCCAGGCCCTTTCACTGGCTACCATGAGTGTGGTGACCGTTGTCATCCATCATCCCAGACTTTGGAGGCTGGACTAGGAATATCCAGACCTTTGAGGGTCAGGTACACAGCCACTGAGAGGCCATCTGAGGGAGGCTTCAGGCCTGGGAAGCCACTGGGGGACCCTGGTCTCCTGGGCTTCCTGCTGCTCCCTGTACCTAAGAACTGTAGAAATGGTGGAGCCCCTCATTGCCCCCACTGCCTGCTCCCTGAACCAGGAATCGGCTCAAATAGACTTGAGCCTGGGACTTAAAGGGCCCCAGAAAGCGAGGGACTCCTCCGCCTGCCTGGCAGTGCACACAGGGCCAGTGCTCACAGGGAGTTGCCAGAAGTTGGGAGAGCAAGAGTCCCCCTCCCCGGGCAGTGCCTGGCCCCCTGCAGGATCCTGTGGGTGCTGGTGAAGAGCTACCTGCAAAATGAACATGGAGGAGGGGCACAGCGCCTCTAGGCAAGTGCATGGTTGGCCCTGAAACTTGAACCCTGGCCCCTTCCCCTCCAGGGACCCAAAGGAGAAAGGGGGGAGAAGGGCGAGGCAGGCCCCTCTGGTGCTGCTGGACCCCCTGGACCCAAAGGACCTCCTGGAGATGATGGCCCCAAAGGCAGCCCTGTGAGTAGCTCTGACCATGCAGTGGGCACCTAGGGGGCAGGGCCCTTGCTCTGGGAAAAGCTGCATGACCTTGCAAGTCTGGTTAATTTTTTTCTAGAGGTTCCCCTTGCCCCTTACTGGAGCAAACTAATGGAGGGAGGAAAGCGGGAGCCATGTTAGAGGAGAAGCCTTTAGGTGTTTATCCTCACGGACACAGCTGGCTGAGACCCACACTGTGTGGCCCTGGGGTTTGGGGTGCAGCCCTTCCTCTGCCCGCCGTTTTAGAGCAGGACCCAGACAACTGAAGGTTCAGACTCTGGTCTCAGCTCCAGGGTCCCCAGGGTGGCTGTGGGGGGATGATGTCTGCCCTTGCCTGTCTCTGGAGAGCAGGAAGCCACTGGCTGCTGCTTACCCCTGGGTGGGCTTCTGCCCATGGACCACAGGATAGGGTCGCCTGACCACACGTGCCAGAGGCATTGGGACTGTCCTGCAGCCTGGGACTTGGGTGTGGCAGGTAGCATCCAGAGGCAGTGATAGGCTGGTCAGGCTGCTGATTGTCTAGGTCTGCCCCTCTCTCCTTTTTAGGGCCCAGTGGGTTTTCCTGGCGATCCTGGTCCCCCCGGGGAGCCTGGCCCCGCGGTAAGTACAAGAGACCCTGTCACTCCCCACAGTTCTGCCCCTTCTGTCAGCCCAGATCTCTTGTCTCCTTGCTTGTCTCTTTCTAATGAGTTCTCTTCAGGGCACAGTCCTCTCCCCAGGGTGTCCCCGATCTGATGATCAGGTGAAGAAAATGCACCCTGGCTTTCAGGCACACTGTGTGGGGACCAGAATGCACTTGGTTTTTGGGAGGGACTAAGGATGGGCTGGGGCTGAAGGGTGAACTTGGAGTGACATCCAGGCAGCAAGAGGAATTTACTCTGTTCCCTCAGGGTCAGGATGGCCCCCCTGGTGACAAAGGAGACGACGGTGAGCCTGGACAGACGGTGAGTCTGCTGTCTGATGCTTCCTGGTAGATCATGTCTCTGTGCTCTGGGACTTTGCAACTTACTCAGTTGCAAATTTGCTGGGGTCATTTCTGAGAGAAACCAGACTCAGTTCCTTTTATAGTATTGGTTTCTGACTGTGGCAGGGCCCATGAGCCTGCAGAGGACCTGACTAAGGCTGTAGACCTTTTTCCAAAAGGAAAAATACACCCACCGAGGGTTCTGTACACGGTTCATGGGGCTCCAGCCCCCACCCTGGAGCTCGCTGTCTACAGCCAGCTTCATCCCATGACTGCCTCACAGGCCATGTGCTGCTCCTCACAGACCCCTACACTGGCCCTGTACCTGAGGCCACATAGACCTTGCATCTCACACTTGACCTTGAGCATCTGCTTCAAGCCAAGGTGGTTTGTCTGGGGTGGGACAGATTCCCATGGCCACTTGGGCAGGAATCAAGGACCAAGTCCTCAGGTCCACAGCCCACATGGCAATAGCTGCTGGCGATTATTGACTGCCTGAGTCTGTTTCCTGCTGCTGTGACAGAACGCCACAGACTGGGGAAAGTGAAGCCAGGAGAAGGTTATGCAGCTTTGGGCGCTGGAGGCAGAGAAGTCCAAGATGGAGGGCCGGCTGGGCCTTCTTGCTGTGTCATAACACAGAAGGTATCACCTGGCAAAACAGCTTGTAAGAGAGGGCAGAGAGGCAGACAGAGAGAGGAGGAAAGCGGCTCACTTCAATGATGGCCTCCGTTCATTCTTGCCCTCACCAGCTGATCAGCTCCCACCCATACCTTGTGATACAGCCAATGGTGGCAATTAAAGGTCAACCTTAGTTTTGGAGAGAACCCTCAAACCACAACCTGACCCCATGGCAAAAGGCTTAGGTCATTGATTTGAGATGAGCAGAAATGGAAAGAAAGGCCTAAGGAGAGACACAGGCTCTAGGTCAGATGCCCTGGTAGGCATCCCTGGCTCCCCCACTCTCTGCCTGTGTCCCTGGCTTGGTGTTTTTCCCTCTTCTGCAATGAGAAGATGGCTCCCTGTACAGAGTCCTGGAGAAGAATGGGCCAGTCACTATATATATCAGAAGTGGACACTACAAAGCAAAATTCCTCCCAAAATGCAGCAACCTGGCAGGCTGCCAGTCAGGTTCCCCAGCACCATGGCCAGAGAGCAAAGTGGGAAGTCTGTGGAGACCTTGGACGGGACTGACTGGGCTTGCTCCAAGAGTGAGCAACGGACTGGCCGAGGACAGGATTGGGTCTCCATGGATGATCCAGCCCTGTACATCCACATCCAACAGACCTAACCCCTAACCTCCCTGTTCTTTCTCTTCATCAGGGATCTCCAGGCCCAACTGGTGAGCCTGGTCCATCTGGGCCTCCGGGAAAGCGGGTGAGTCATTCTGGGAGCTGTCCTTGCTGCAGGCTCCCTGCCTAAAGGCCCTTTGATGGGCCCTGCGTACCCCACATGGCCCCTTTCCTCCCCACGAGGAAAGGACACTTGTGTCTGTAGTCTGAGCTCCACCCAGCTTCTGCCCTTTGGAGGCGTGCTGGGTCAAGGCAGCTGCTGCTTTTAGGATGGCCAAGGGCTGACATATCTGTCAGCAACTGCACCATGGGAGAAAAATACCCACGTGGCTGAAAACCTCCTTCCTCTGGGCCAGACCTTCCTGAGCAGGTGTCCTTGCATGTTGGTCGCTTGCTGAGCTTGCAGCAGATAGGGCCACAATGGCCAGCCAGGAGAGGACCTCCCAACACTCAGGCCAGCCAGAGCACCTCCCAGATTCTGGAGGCCCGGCCTATAACTGGAGGCATGGGACTCATCCTGACGGCCTGCATCCATACTGGTCTGTGGCCCAGGAATGACCTTATGTTCCTGCACCCCTCCCCTCGAGCCTGGGCCTTATCTTTACATGCTGAGCTCAGGCTCCAGCCTGTGAGGGCTAAGTGCATCCCCTGTCTTTCTTGCTTGTTCCAGGGTCCCCCGGGTCCTGCAGGCCCTGAAGGCAGACAGGGAGAGAAAGGAGCCAAGGTAAGGTACATCTTGGCCAAGCTGAACCTACTGAAGGGCAGGGGCTTTGTGGGGAGATAGATAAAGCTGTAGACAGGAGCCACAGAGGCTCAAGGAAGCTGACATGAAGTCTGCACTGGCCTTTAGCCTCTGATGGAGAGGAAGACAGCATCTGCAGTGGGACTCAGAGGCCTTGGGTGGCCATTAGCACAAGGCCTGGCATCAGAGCTCTGGGGCCAGTCTCACAGTGGAATGACTGATGAATTCTGAGATGGTACCATTTTCCTCCTTCTGGAAATGCCCTGTCATTAAATGAAGCAGGGGTAGGTGCTGTATGGCCCTGACCATGCCATGGTAGTTGGCCTGGTCAGTGGAGGCTGGGAGCCAGTGGACTAAAGAAATTAGAGGGGTGGACACTGCCCAGGGCAGCTGCCAGAGGAAGGTGGGGAGTGGGCCACCTTTGGGTACCAGAGCACCTCAATAGCATCCGAGGTTCTGAGCAGGGGTCCTGAGCCTGGTGCCCACAACCTCCAAGCATCCAGATCCCACTCTCTGCAGGGAGAAGCCGGCTTGGAAGGCCCTCCTGGGAAGACTGGCCCCATTGGCCCCCAAGGGGCCCCTGGGAAGCCAGGGCCTGATGGCCTGCGGGGGATCCCTGGCCCTGTGGTGAGTGGGCTGGGCAGGCCTGGGAGGGGGCAGAGGGCACTGGTGTGGGGCACAGGCTCATACTGAGGGTCTCTGTGTTTTAGGGTGAGCAAGGTCTCCCAGGATCCCCAGGCCCAGATGGTCCTCCTGGCCCCATGGTGAGTAATATCTCTATTGCATTGAGAGGGGTGCTGCCAGCAGAAACCCCTGAGACAAGGACTGTGACCCCACCGCCTCTTCCCACAGGGTCCCCCAGGACTTCCCGGCCTCAAAGGAGACTCGGGTCCCAAAGGTGAAAAGGTAAGCAAGGACTTTGGGAGACTCACAGTGATGTAATAACACCCTCGACTCAGACACAATGAGCCATCCAGCTGCCACCGAAGTGTCTGCTGTGGGCTGTGATGGGACCTGGGGAGGTGAGAAGACAAAGGAAAAATGCTCACACCACACTGAGACTTGGTGCTGCCTTCAGGACCCCCCGGGTCCTGAATTGACAAGAACTTTCCAGCTGGGCAGAAGTCCTGTCCAACCGGTGACTAGGATCTGAGGAGTCAGTGCTTGCTGTGGACACCAGCTCCTGTCCTTTTCCTGGGATGTGGTGTAGGAAACACTGCAGCCGGACGAAACCCTTGCTCTTTCACTAATTGGTGGTGGCTTTTTTCTACTTACATCAGCTTATTCACAAGCATACTCACAAGCCAAACATTTGTATCTGGAGAAGGCAATGAGGACCACCCTCTCCTTCCCACGGTCATGTCCCTCACCAGCACCGTCTCAAGCCCCAACTTAGTGGAAGCCAGAGGAATCTTTCTAGAGATTTGTGTGAAAGCAACAAACTGTATTCGCCCAAGTGAATATGGTATCTTTAGTACTCTGCAGCTTCCTTCCTGGGCTAGTCCACAGATTGTTTCAGTTTCTTACAGGAAAAGGCGCACACATTCACCTCACGAAAACTGGGAACAGTGTGAAGAAGAAAGACACATACCCACATAATCACTCAGGGAAATTCCTTGCAGCCTGGTCTCTATGTCTGGATCTCCTTGTGTGTTTCTTTACGTGTGGTCCTTACCGTAAAAGAGCCACGTGACCTGTCTTATCACCTGGCCTGTCTGACCTGGCCATATTGCCAGGTCACCTCCTGCCAGGGATGGACTTGGGGCAATGCAAGTATGAATGCCCTCACACCTTTGTTTTCTAACAGGGTCATCCAGGCCTGATCGGACTCATTGGACCTCCGGGTGAACAGGGTGAAAAGGGAGACAGAGGTCTCCCTGGGCCCCAGGGCTCTTCTGGTCCTAAGGGAGAACAGGTATCTGTGACTTGAAGCTCTGAATTCAAACCCCAGTCCCACCAAAAAACAAAACAAAACAAAAAGACAGAGAGAGAGAGAGAGACGTCCAGGGTCACCATTGGCAAAAGGAAAGCAGCCCTATCTACCCTTCTGCTCACTCACTTGCCCTCCCCCCACACTGTGGTCTCGGCCACATTGCTGGTAGATGTCACCCTAAGGTGCAAACTTGAGAATCACAGGATTTGTGAATGACCTGAAGTCCCAGTTGCTGCCCTCTGAAGGTAGAGGGAGCAAAGCTCTCTCATGAGAGAGAGCCACTGGGCTGTCAGCCTTTGCTACCCCTGCTTACAGCTCAAACCTCAGTAAGAAGCCTTAGGGACCCTGTGCTACCATAAGCAAAGTCACTATGCTTCAGCTATGCAGGAAGGGCTGGTCAGAGGTCTTGAGCTCCAAGGATGTGCAGAGTACCTTTAGAGCCTGGACGGAACAGACTGGATTCCATCCAGGATGCTCGCTGCCCTCCCGTGCCCCAGGCCCTGGCACATTTTAGCCAAGAGATTAAGACCATGAAATAGCAAGGATGACCAAGTGGAGGTAGAATGTTGAAGTGGTCACTTCTGTTTCAGCACGTGATAAGGAATGGCCTCAGGCCGAGTCCCTCCCCATGGCCCCATAATGCGAAGGAGCTCCTTCCATCCAGACAGTACAGCAGGGTCTGGGGACATCAGTCTTGTGGCCAGTGTTCAGGTTGACTGGGCCCAGCAAGGAAAGATGTCTGTCCTTGTCATGCAGCTATCTCAGCATCAGAGAGCGACTAGATGTGAACTGCCAACAGGGTGCCAGGGGGCCTGGGGAGGGGACTGTGAGGGAACCTGGGCCAGGTCAAAGGGACACCTCCCCCATTCCTCTGTCTGAAGGCCAATAACCTGCGTTTTCTCCTTTTCAGGGTATCACTGGTCCTTCAGGCCCTATTGGCCCCCCTGGGCCTCCTGGCTTGCCGGTGTGTATCTGGGAGAGTTGGGGCTCCCCTGGATGGCTACAGGGAGGGTTGGGAGTAGGGAGAGCCTGGCCGAGAATTACAGGGAAGTCACAAGAGACAGCCAGATTGGCCCCTAGGGTGGGTTGGTCTGTTAACCCAAAGTTGGGGTTCCAAGAGACAAGTAGAGAATAAAGGGGTACTGGGCCCTGCTTTGGAGTGGGAGAGTCTAGGAGGTCAGACCTCTGTGTCTGGGCTCCCAGGGAATGGGCACACAGCTGTAGGTGTTTGAGGAAGGTGAGGAGAGCATGGTTGGCTCTCCAGCCCTCCTAGTCTGTGTGAGGGGGGCCAGCAGGCCCACAGGTGATGAGCTAGGGACCCGCCCTCTCAGCACCCCCAAGTCTGTGCTTCCCTTGTGTTTTGGCAACAGCTGGTACTTCGAAGATATTCCCAGAGCCTGATCCTCTGCCCGCCTCAACCCCGTCTATGTGGCTGGGCCTTGGGTCCACATGGCCAAGGTGGCCTGGCCACTGACCCCTTGCTGAGTGTTGTCTGTGATGTGAGGGCTGGGGATGCATTTCATCAGGTCCCTCTGAAGTCCACGTCTACACTTTGCTCTTGCTCAGTGGCTGCCTGAGTTGTCATTTCCCAGTTGAGAAGGGCAGGCAGGCTGACCTGAGCAGAGGATACCCTCTGCCTCCTATTGGATGAACAGTGGTCATGCTTGGCCCTCCTGCTGCCCAGTCAAATAGGAGCAGAGTGGACTCCTGGGAGGGGGCTGGTACAAGGAGGGGAGAACAGGCTGGGCAGGACTGAGGACCCAGGTGGCCTTCTGCCCACTGACACTCTGGCCTCTGATCTCTACAGGGTCCTCCAGGTCCAAAAGGTGCTAAAGGCTCTTCGGTAAGTGACTCTGTCCTGACCAGCCCATGCTGCCTGGGGGCTGCTGCGGGAGGCAGGCAGGGTGCAAGTCCTGTGGTGAGGACCACCGTGGACTCCTGTCCTAACTCACAGTGGTCCTGCCTCCACGTCTTGTCTTTCTCCTTCCTTTTTTCTTTTTGTTATGTGTTATTGGTATACTTCACTGTTAGATTTTTTTTGGAAAAAACTCTTTTGCTTCACTTGCTGAATTTTTATTAATTATCATTTTAATTGTATCTGCTTTTGGGGTGCAGTGTACAGCTGATATGTGTCTACAGTGTGTAATGATCAAGTCAGGGGAGTTAGCACTTCCATGGCCCTAAAACATTTCCAAATTTCTGCTGAACACGTAGAGATCGGTCCTGTTTATGGGACAGAATGCATACCAATGAAGCCAAGGCAATCAACGTTCACATGTCCTTGTCATCACAGTGTGCTGGGAGCCTTCCAGCTCTCTCTGCTAGTCATTCGTAAATGATGTGACCAGTTATTGTGAATTGTAGTCCTCACTGTGCTGTGGACCTCCGTGGCACATTCCTTCCATCTGGCTGTGTTTTGGTAGCTGTCACTAAGCCTCCCTCGGTGCCCTTCCCCCACCTTCCCAGCCTCCAGTAATCACTGCTCACTACACTCAGATCGACTTTCTATTAACTTCCACACACGAGGGGAAGCCCATGGTATTTGTCTTGCTGCGCCTGACTGACTTAATTTAACATAATGGCCTCTAGTTACCAATACTCCCCACGCAGACACCAGGATGCGATTACTCTTTATGGCTGAATAATACTCCACTGTGTGTGTAAATCACATTCTTTATCTAGCTACCCTCCTGGGCCAATCCTGTATCTTAGCTGTTGTGAATGGTGCAGCAGCAGGCGTGGGTGAGCACATGTCATTCTGCCATGCTGGCTTCCTTTCCTGTGATACACACGCAGAAGTGGGATGACTGGATTGTATGGTAGATCGATTTTCATCTTTTGAGGAGTCTACACTAACTTACATTCCCACCAGTCATGTTTGAGGGGTTGCTTTTCTCCACATCCTCGCCAGCATTTGTTATTTTATGCCTTTTTGATAACAACCTTTCCAACTGGCGTGAGGTGGAATCTTGTGGTTTGACTTGCATTTCCCTGATGGTTGATGGTTGATGTCTTCCCGAAGGACTGGTGGCCATCTGAATTTCTTCCTCGGAGTCATTATCTTGTTGGCCCGGCATATCTCGGGCCAAGGCGCCTGGGCTGGTCACTCCCTACCTAGGCATGTGCTGGCCCCTGGACATCCTGGAGAGCAGAGGCCCTGCCAGCCTCACCCCTGCCTTTGCTCGGGTTTCCGGACCGTTCTAGAGCTAGAGGGCCATGTCAAGTTGCAGACACCCCCATAACTAAGCACTGATCCTTTTTCCCCAGGGTCCAACTGGCCCGAAGGGCGAGGCAGGTCACCCAGGACTCCCCGGCCCACCCGTGAGTAGCCTTTACCGTCAAGGAAGGAGTGGGGATTGAGGCAGTGTCTGTTCATGAGACTTGCTTTCTAAAACATCATGCAGCGCAGGTGTCATGCCCAAGGGCCTGCGTCTGAGGACCAAGAAGGGAAAATGAGTTGCACAGGGCCCCTCCACAGGGGCCTCACAGGCTGACTCACCTTGGGAGGGAGAGTTGGCCAGAAAAGAGGGAGAGAATGTGTGACCGTGTGCATGCAGGTGTGTGCTTGTGTGTACATGTACATGTGTATGTGCAGGTGTGTGTGTTTAGGTGTGTAAGTGCATGTGTGGACTGCAGGTGGGCAGAGGTACGTGTGTGTGTGTGTGTGTGTTGTGTGGAGGGAGCACTAGAAAAGCCACAAGCCACAGGGTGAAGCTCGTTGTGACGGGGGCAGGACAGCAAGCACCCCCTTGGAACATCCCCTGTGTCAGGCAGCCTCTGGACTCTACCTCGTCCTGGTGGGGCCCCAGAAATGAACCTCTGTCTGAATTAGCTGAGTTGATATGACTGCTGTGTTTGGCTCCAGCTGGGGCCACAGAGACAAGAGAGGGGAGCTCTGGTCACTTTCCTCAAGGCTTGGCCTTGAATTCAGCAAAGGACGAATAAGGAAATGAAAGGACTTGAGGCCAATTCTGGTTCTGAAGAGGAATGCAGGAGGGACCGGGCCTGGGCTTAGGCAGAAGAACCTGGCAGGGCGGATGGGATGGGCATGGGATGTTCTAGAGATAAGGAAGAGGGACAAAAATAGTGCTGAGAAGGACAGATGTCCTTCCAACCCAACACACAGGGCTTAAGGGAGCCTGTGTCAGCAGCACCCTGGACGTCCTTATCCCGCCCTGTCCTAGGACCTGCCCTGCCCTCTCCCACTCACTGCACTCTCTCCACACCCCAGGGTCCCCCGGGCGAGGTCATCCAGCCCCTGCCCATCCAGGCATCCAGGACCCGGAGGAACATCGATGCCAGCCAGCTGCTGGACGATGGGGCTGGCGAGAGCTACATGGACTATACGGACGGCATGGAGGAGATCTTTGGCTCGCTCAACTCTCTGAAACTGGAGATCGAGCAGATGAAGCGGCCTTTGGGCACACAGCAGAACCCCGCCCGTACCTGCAAGGACCTGCAGCTCTGCCACCCTGACTTCCCCGATGGTGAGGGCGGGGTGGGGCTGCCTGCAGTATGGTGTGGTGGGATGGTTGGAGCCACTGCTTCAGCCTTGGCTTTCCATCCGTGAAAGGACAAATAGCTGTCCTCTGGTTAATGTGGAGACATCGAAGAGGAGGCCAGCAAAGAGGCCAGGACTTCCAGGCTAGGCAGTCCTGGATTTCATCGTCTTAGCCACTTGTTGGCAGATACTGCCTTTCCCTGAGGCTCGATGTTCCTGATGGGTAAAGTGGGAACAAGAACCTCTCCCCTGAGGGCACAGGTGGATGGGGCAGTGCATAACGTACCTGTGCGCAGTAAGGGTTAGAGCTAGGATTGGAATCTGCAATATCAGGAAATGCAAATCATTCTTGCTCTCATGGTGGCCAGAAATCCAGCACCCTTTGAGCATCACATTGGCATTATTGTCTGGAACATTCCTGCTGCAGGATTTGAGGGATGTTGGTGGTTCCAGTAGCCTCTGACCCCACGTGCATGAAATTCCAGGGTTCATCCCAGAACACACTCTGCCTTTCTGTCCGCCCATCGAGCAGGCCAGGCACAACCTCCCCTCATCACAGACGCCTACCCACCAGCCATGCTGTTAGTGAACGCGTCCGTCCATGTCTCTTTATGGGCCCGGAAGGAAAAACAAAATGCATTGAGAAGTACTGCAGGAAGGCCGCGCAGGCCATGTTGTCACCCACTTATGCATTTAACTGCCAGCCTGAAATGTCACGGTGGCTTCTGAAGCCATCAGGGTGCTGTTCTTATGAATTTGCCTCACTGTCTGAAATCCAGGTGAATACTGGGTCGATCCCAACCAAGGCTGCTCCAGGGACTCCTTCAAAGTCTACTGCAACTTCACAGCAGGAGGGGCGACGTGCATCTTCCCCGACAAGAAGTCTGAGGGGGTGAGTACCCGCATCACCTACACAGCGTGTCTCATGACAGGTGCTTTGCATGTGTACAAGTTTAAGACCGAAAACCAGAGGCGCGTCCATCTCAGAATCAAGAGCGTTCTCCAGTAGTCGTTTGGTTGTCAGAAGAGGTGTTTTAGCTATGGAGCTGGTGCCTGCGCCTGGGGCAGGGCAGACAAGGGATGGCCACCCTTTCTGGGCATTCACCTGGAGTCTCAGCAGATCTTCTGACCGAGACCAGCTTACAGCCTAGAGGACTTTTGGGCCAAGCATGATAAAGTGATTCAAGACATCTGCGAGCTGCTGTGCACCCAAATTCTCAATGCCACCTTCTTTGGTGGGATTTGTTCCAGGTCTCCCAAGTGGAAGGCACTGTCTTAGTCTACTTTCTGAAGAATTTGGGGACAGGTGTCTAGGTTGTGACTCATTGAGATGTTGTGGCATGCCACCTCTGTGGCCTTTTAGGGCCTCAACTCTGTGGTAGGAATATGTGCACAAGTGAGTGGTGTGCAGGTGAGTGTGTGGGGGGGGTGTGTGCATGTGAGCTGTGTGTCAAAGGTAGGAGCCACTTTGGCTCAGACAAGTGAGGAAGGTGAGGCCTCCCCTGACACTGGGAAGATGATAGCAACCTCAACCTTGGGGTCTGCATCTGGCCTGCACAGATGCACCCCCATACAGTCTGGTTGTCACCTGCTGTTTTCTGGAGGCCACAGCAGGTATAGTTGCATTCCACACTGCAGCTTCCTAATAGCCTCGGTGCCAAGAAGCAGGTTCATACTGGAGATGGTGTAGAGAGGGCCACTGGCCCCTTCCTCCACCAGCACCCCCTTGGGTCAGCCTCCTCTGGCAGCAGCAGGAGCTGGAGCAGAGCTGGGGGAGCCTGTCAAGATCTGTCCCTTCCCAGCCTGGCACTTTGCATCCTGATAACCTGTGTTCCCAGCAATAAGCCAGGCATCAAAGAGCCCAAGCGCAAGGACCTGCTCCATTTCTCATTTCCTTCCACCTGCCCAGAGGCTCAGGATGAAGCTCAGTTAGCAGAGACGTTCCTCACCCCTCCATGGTCTCTGTCCTCTGCAAATGCCTCCTGTGGGAGAATTCGCAGGACAGACACCCCTGGTCAGCCAGGTGTCTCCTGGGGACCATCATCTGTCTGTGATGGTCCCTCTCCCAGGCTTCTCTTCTCCCCCCACATGTATAGACCAATTGTGTGTCCACGTGTGGTGCCAGGCCATGGGCCTTGGTGGACCTGGCTGGAGTATGTTTGAAGCCAAAGTCTGGCAATGCCTGCATTTGCCACTCCCGGCCCTGACCTGGGAGGAAGCCACCCTGAGGGATCTAGGCTAAGTCTTAGCAGCAGAGTGCAGGATAGGGGTTCTGACTGGGCGGACAGGCTAAACATCCCTTTCTTCCAGTGGGTTCCCTGGCTGTCCACGCACCAGGCCAGCTCATGAGATGGCTGGGATGATTGATGAGCACTCAGACTGCCTTCTCCCAGCCCCTCGGCAGTGTCTCAGGCAAAGGTCCTGTGGGACCTAGTTGGTCCAAGCTTGGCCCTGGGAGCTCCTTCATTCCACACCTACAGGGAGTCAGTGAGGGGCTTTGCTCAGCCACCCACCCTTTAGTCCATAACACCCCTGAGCCCAGGCCTGACCTGTTCTATGTGCCTGTGGCCTTGGCCTCTGTAGAAACAAATGCTGTGTGAGGTCCTCCCATGAGGGGACAGGATGTCCCTGTGATGAAGGGGTAGACTAGTCCCTGCAGCTTCAGGAAACACTGGGGAAGAGGACAGGCTTTGTTCCCTACCAGAGCAGACCAGCAGTGGCTCCAAGGACTCACAGGTCCTCAGAGAAGATGGCATCACACACACTACACATACATACCCACACTCCATATGCATGCATGCATCCACTCACATACCCACACTGTATGCACACATGCCCCCTCACACACACACAATGCACATACAACACACACCCCACATTATATACACACACCCCACTTACCAACACACACCATCTGCACACATACCACCTGCACACACACCACCTGTACACACACCACCTGCACACACACACCATCTGCACACACACACACCATCTGCACACACACCACCTGCACACACACACCACCTGCACACACACACCACCTGCACACACACGCCACCTGCACACACACACCATCTGCACACACACCATCTGCACACACACCATCTGCACACACACATACACTCACACACAGTGTGTCTGGCTGTGTCACAGCCCCACTAAGCGGAGGCCTTGGAGCTTGAGCCACATAGGGATGGGTGAGGGTGAGGGAGAGATACACACCCCCGCCCAGAAGTAATGCTGGCTCTTTCATCACTGTCACCCTCATCAGGGTCTTTGGGAGTCCTGCGTTCACTAGTTCACTACTCACAAGGACTCACTTGGCAGTCACTGGCTGTCCTGGTACCCACAGACTGACACTGTGTGGCTGCTGCCCCGCCTGTGGCTACATTGGTCCATACCTGGCATCTGGACAGCCTGGAGCTGTTGTTACCCCTGTATGACCATCAAGGACTTTGTCCCAAGGCCTTGCTTTTGCAGGAAGGCAGAGACACCTCAGCAGGGAGCCAGGGGCCAGGAGAGCGGGAAGGTTCCACAGAGGCAGGAGTAACCCTTTCCTTTTCTGTTTCTCTCCCTCCCCACCCCTGCCTGATGTATAGGCCAGAATCACTTCTTGGCCCAAAGAAAACCCGGGTTCCTGGTTCAGTGAATTCAAGCGTGGGAAGCTGGTAAGGCGGCCTCTTACTCCTTTGCAGTTGTCACTTTAAACCCACCGTCTCCTATCTTGCAGAGTAAAATGGCCCAAGCGTGGAGAAGCTGGTAAGGCGGCCTCTTACTCCTTTGCAGTTGTCACTTTAAACCCACCGTCTCCTATCTTGCAGAGTAAAATGGCCCGATGGCCTAAAGAGCAGCCTTCCACCTGGTATAGTCAGTACAAGCGAGGTTCCCTGGTAAGTGGCCGCCTTGTGCTGTCTGCTTGTGGCTAGGCCTGGCTCTCGGGGCTCTGCATGGGACTCATTGCCCACCAGGGCCACGCCTGCTCTTGCCCCTTTTGGCCAAAGCACTCCACATCAAGGTTCTGATGAGTGTGGTGTCCTTTCTTCCCACCCTATCCCTCTACCCCAACCAGAGTCTCTTCCAGCCTGGCAGTAGGAGATGGTTTTCCACTGAGTTTAGGGCACCTGGCAGGCTGGTGCAGGGGACCAGGCAAAGACACGTCAGTGGTTGCAGCCCAGGTGCACTGGGCCGGCTATCGGCACTGAGGTCGAGAGACACTGGAGCAGAGGCCTGGATGTGAGCTCTGGGGCAAGGGAAGGCAAGGCCAGAGTGGCTGGACACATTAAGGCTTGGCATTCTTCCTAGGCCTCCTGTCCAATACATCCCATCTCTGTGCTGCTTGGGGCTAGTGGTCTCTGACTGCTGACCAGTCCTCTAACTCCCAATTGTGCCCCACGTGGTGTGTTAACTTCTGGGGAGCGAGCTCACCTGATCCATCCTGGGATAAAAAGTAGTTGGCATCCCCTGAAGAATGAAATAGGATGTTCTTCTGGCTGGCATAGAGGCCAGAGCTATTCTCACCCTCTTCATGTGAGGCTGATGGCTACATCTACAGCTTGGGACATTTCCCCTGAACCCCGAAGGGCTCACTCTGGGTCCTTTCCTGGGATAGACTGCAAAGCTCTGGGCTTTTATGCCAAGTGAGGACTTGAGAAATGCCACCCAGTTCCCAGACCTTCTTGCTTCACCCGTTTGGGATCTTAGCGCCGCTCTTGGGCTGATCCCATTGAAAATAGGAGTTGTCCGCCGATGTAGTCGACTACGTGTATGGTGAATTCCCACGCTGGGTTCCACTTCCTGTCTATTTTGTGTGTGGACATGTGTTTCTAGTAAGAGCGATGGTTTATTTTT